AACCAGCTATAAACTACAGTGCAATTTAATACAACTTACTATAGACTGAAGAGAAAATTCCCCCAAAAAATTGTGGGTTCCCTAATTATAAGGGTAAGGATTTAAAAGATTGAAAAGTAAGATTTGTAAATAGTTATTCTAAACAAAAAAAATATATATATTTTTTAAATTAAATTTTTGTAAATCTCTGTTTTATACCAAAATAAACTCTGCTATGGAGACACACTCTGCTTTATTCATGACTGAGATGTCTGCCGATGAAAGAACGCATTAGCTGATGGAGAGGCGAGTCAGCACGGAACACAGAACCTTCAAGAAACCCCGGCAAATGTGCATGCTCTGATTGCTGTTCTGTGCATCTGTCTGAACCCAATGCACAGGACAATCTTTAACAATACGTCTACTGAAGGAAGCATTTATTTAAACAAGACGGAAATTAAATCTTAATCTAGAGCCAATGTTTCCGTGTTATTTGTATGCTAAACATGCACCTGACTAAAATGTGCAATGGACAAAAGAGATTTTAGGGCCAAGTAAAAAAAAAAAATGTCTATTAAAAAATATGAATGTATGTAACAACTTAGGGCTAATTTCTATATTGGTAGCCATTTAATAATACTAACAGTCAGTAGAGTATTTCTGCTTAAAAAAAAAAAAGTTCCAAGCTGGCTAATGTCAGTTCTGTGCAAATGTTTTGCAAAGTGTGGCATTCATTGGCTGAGAGCAGTCAGCTGACACTCTCAGCCGATGAAGGGTGACTGACTTGGCTTCTGTAGCTCTGTCGAATCCGGAAGCGTGTCACAGAGGAGGGAAGAAGCCTCTGAGCATTGCGTGGATCCACGTAACAGAGCAAGCCTTTACTAAATGGTTTGCTTTATTAACGGGGAACATGGCCAGGGTACTCCTGGCATTGTAACAACTACAGTGGGCAGTAGTGATTATGAAACTTAGAGTAACTATTTAAGGTAGTTAGATAGGGCCTCCAGGAGGTACAGCTGATGCACTGGTAAGCAATCCAGCCATCCTTTAGGGGTTAATTGAAGCCCAGTAATCCTATGCAGTCTGGTTGGGGAGATAAAATAGCTCCATAGGTGCCAACAGTTCTGGATTTTCTAGGACAGTCCTGCATTTTGGGGGAACTGTCCTAACAAAAATAGGCCCCTGGGACCTGTCACATATTTTGAAATATGCCAGCAGATTTCAAAATACAAAAGGGACTGGCATTAGAATCATGCACAGAGTGTTCTAACAGCGCTCAGTGCATGGCCCGCTTAAGGGGGCGGGCTGTCCAGGAGGCAGGTGTTCACAGGTGGACCCACCCTTTTGGTGGGTTGACCTGCCCTTTGCACAATGCCCTTTGCAGCCTACTCTCTTCTTTGGCAGGTACTGTATAAACCATTCTTGCGCCAATTTTCTCTGCTCACTGCCTCTTCCTCAGCAGCTGCCTTAGGTCACTGTATCCTGCCTGAGAGACGGGGCTATGCAGAGATCTGGCTCCTTTAAACTGAACACAGTAATCACAGAGTCCAGCCAGTAAATAAAATACCATCTTATAATACTGTCTGTGCTGGCAAAATACCGGCTAGGTGGCAATCCTAGTGTGTGTGTTTTGTGTGTGTCTGTCAGCATGTAGTGGCATACTCCAGGGGGCCCAGTCGCCCTGCCGACCCCTGCGACCACGGAATGTTGGCTTAGTTTTAGGGTGCAAAGCCACACCGACCTGGTGACCAGCATTTGTGGTAACAAATTAACTGGATATATATATATATAAATATGATTTATGTAGTGAAAATTGTGAAAATCTTTGCACTAGCATGTCTACTTTTAATTTGTGAGATAGTACGTTAAATATTTTATTAAGACAATTTTTAAGAAAACCTCTACCAAAGTGGTAACGACTAACAGGGCTTCATGTGTACTTCCCAAAGAGGACCTTTATAAACCCAAATGCTAACTATTTATACCAGCTTGCAAGATTTAAGCCAGTTAGTATGTTTAATCTACCCTGGAGAGCTTTAAAAATGTCGACCACAACATCATTTTCAGTTGTTCGTCCCTTTCGATTGACTTGTGACAGGTAATCAGTGAGCAGAAGGACAATTTGCTTTCCGCACAGAGTGTTCTTTAAAATGTCCTATAGCGAAGTAATTCCAATCTTTAGTATAGTGGTTCTGAAGTGTGGCCACTAATGTGAACACTGTGTGATTTTAACTGCAATAACATGTCATTATGGAAAAGAAAACTAAACATTATCTAATTCGGTCTCCAAAACATGATTTCAGTTCCCATAGGAAAAAGATAAAATAATGAACCCGCAGAGTAGTTTCAGTTATGTATTTCAAAAATATACTTGCAAATAACTTTTAGTAGGAATTTGACAGCCAACCTAAATATCCCTTAAACGTATGTGGCTTGGAGATGTAGGAATATAGACAGTAATCCCAATGAAAACTATAAGGAGGGCCAGGTTTGGCGGAGAAAACAAAATTCCTTCCACGTGCAGGCCATTTCTAAGTACGTGTTCTTTAATGCATTTTCAATGCAATTTGTTCATAACGAATAGAAAAGTGAGGTCGATTCAAGACCAGAGTATCCCTTAAACTGAAATCATTCCTATACCCATCAAACAAGATAGTATTAATACTATTGCTTCCATAGATACACTCCATATATTACTACAAAGCTAGAGTTTTAGTGATGCACCTTGGTAGTGTTGTCGCGAACCGTTCACGAACTTTTCGCGAACCGTTCGCCACGAACCGTTCGTGGCGAACTCCGGTCAGCTGACACATCCCAGCCAATCTCCAGCAGACCCTCCCTCCCAGACCCTGCCACCTCCTGGACAGCATCCATGTTGAAGCTGAGATTGGCCGGGATGTGTCAGCTGACCGGAGTTCGCCGCGAACGGTTCGTGACGAACCGTTCGCGAAAAGTTTGCGAACGGTTCGCGACATCACTACACCTCGGTTACAGTCACAAGCGATGGCAGTTAAATTTATGTAATTTATTATTTAACATTCTTTTATAGTTCTGTTACCAGGACAGTGATGTCTTTTTAAAAGTGAAAATGTATTTTGCAAGTTTTTTTAATTAATCAACTGGAGGTATCGCAGATTAATAAACTGGGGTTTTATTAACTTCTACACAACATTGCATTATTCTTTCTTCTTGAGAATAAATGGATATTGCTGGCTTGCAACAAAATAAAAGGGAACTGCCACCCAAATACTTTCTACAAGTACAATCCAGTTTGGGGATCTAATTAAAACAGCAGAGACAACGTGCAAAAGGACTGTTTCTAGAGAACCATCAGATCACAGATTGGCAGAGGAAAACGTGTTCCACGTGGTTTTTTTGTGGAAATCTGATAAACCTATGTGTAATACGCAAGACAACCAAAACAAATGTCACTGTTTAGTATTAAAAAAATATTCAGTTTCACAATAATACGATAGACAGCCGTTTAAGTAACAATCCAATCCTAATACAATAAAGATCATAATTTATATCATCTTGTCTGATCCAGAGAGTTTGCTATTACATTCCACAGGGTACACTGTGACTAGAAACTATATTAAAGGAACACTCCATGTACCATAACCACTACAGGGTAGTTTGGCTTCTTACCTGGCTCCCGCTAAGTGCTGTCTCCGCCTCTCTATCTGAGCTAAGCAAAAAGTTGCAAGCTTATCTCCTTGGCTGAGAGCAATTAGCTGATACTTTCAGCCAATTAGTTGGTCCTGCAGTCCCCATCTAGGAGCATGCCCCCTCCTTGGTAACATAACATCCTCATCTGTCAACCAAGTGAGGGTTTCTTAGACAGAAGCATTCATTTCAATGCTTCTCTATGTGAAGCATTGGCGGTGGATCAGAGAAATTGACACGTGTGTGCCCTGTGTTCAAATACTTTTCTATGAGTTGGAACAGAACTTCTGTGAGAAGACAGTCTGACTGGTAGAGTTAACTTGTTTTTTTAAGAGGGCCTTAATCTAAAATAGAAAAGTTAGATTCCGATGTTACAAATAAACATGATAATTTGTAATATTGGAGTGTTCCTTTAAGTCTAAAACCCTATGTGTAGTGATTTAGTTAATAAAATACCTAGATGTCATAATGTTGGAGTTTGCACATTACATCATCATTTTTTACTTCCACTGAGCAGTAATAAGCCTTTAAATTGAAAATTATAGTTATTGTTCAATATCATTAATATTTTACAGGAAAGTTTTCAATATTAATGGTTTGAAGCTTTTAATCAGTTCCTTCTGGCACTTTCACGTGACCTGTGACTATTCAGACCATTTTCACTGCATGCGTCATTAACTTAAAGCAGAGGTGTCAAACCTTGGCGTTATAGCTGGTCTAGTACATATCAGAATGTATGTCACGCTTTCATTAACGTTGGATTGAACAAGCGTCATAGCTTTATGCAATAGCAAATCTGTGCAGATCAAATTTAAAACGTGCATCAGCAGAGAGCATGCAAACAATAAAATAAAGAGATGGATTTTAAGTTTAAATATTTCTGCCAAATACACTTTCCGGATGCAGAGGGGAGAATATTCTAGAGAGAGATAACAGCATAGCAAGAGCCCTTTGCTCAACAAATTCATTCAATTTAAAGTTAAAGCATAGGTGACCAGAACCATAGGTGACTTGGAGAATTTTTTCAGAAAGGCTATTTTGGCCTTAAAGGGACACCATATGCAACAGAACAAGTTTAACTTAATAAAGCAGTTTTGGTGTATATATCATGCCCCTGCAGTTTCACTGCTCACTTATCAGCCATTTGGTAGTTAAATCAGTCTTGTTTCTGTTTATGCAGCCCTAGCCACAACTCCCCTTGTTTTAAAAGTTTATGTCTCCTGCTCTGTAAATTTTAATCACAAGCTGGAGGCTCCTGCAGGGTCTAGAAGGTTATTAATAGAGCAGGAAATATAAAATTCTAAATTAAACAGACTGCGGTTAGACATTAGATCAGGGCTGTCCAACCTGCGGCCCCACAGATGTTGCTGAACTACAATTCCCATGATTCTTTCAATGAAACAGATAGTCAGAGAATCATGGGAGTTGTAGTTCAGCAACATCTGGGGGGTCGCAGGTTGGACAGCACTGCATTAGATCTTACTTTTCAAGAAGTGTTTAGGAAGCCTGTGCAAACCACATGCAGCGGGGGTGTGACTAGTAGACATGTGCAATTCGTTTCGTTCCGAATGTCAATTCGGACGATTTTCGGGCAATTCGGACACTTCCGAATGTCTGAATAGCTGAATTGCCGAATTGCTGAAGTTCCGAAGTTGCCGACCTGTCGAAGTGCCGAAGCACAGTATTGCCGAAGAACTAATATACCTACCCAGTGGAAGAATGAAGAATGTTACACTGTATACAAGTTTAAATAAAAACTATACAAACAGCCAGGATTCAGCTGTAAGCATTTGCAACACTTACAACAATCAAGTAACACACATTCATATAAAATGTAAGTTACTTAGCCAGTCAATGGAATGACAGGAATGAATAAGTAGATAACTCCCTAATTCCCACGGTATTAGGGAGCTATCTACTAAAAGGCTGAAAGACCTAAATTGGTCTTTCAGCCAAATTTACTAATACTAAGTAAAGATTACTTAGTATTTGTAAATTATGCCCCTACTCGCTATACTGCAAGTAAGGGCATGTAAATTAAACAGTGAGCAGCCTGTTGTTGCCCACTGTAAAAGAAACAAAGCCCCCCAAGAAAACCTGAGCGGTGGGTGGGGGTCAGGGTGGAGGATAATAGGTCCCCCCCCGCTTATTCTAACTTAGGGCCCCACCCGCCGCTCAGGGGTGGGGACCGGGGGGGAGGACAATAGGTCCCACCCCTTATTCTAATTTAATAGACATGCTATACCGCGAGTAGGGGCAAAATTGACTAATACTAACTAATTTTTACTTAGTATTAGTAAATTTGGCTGAAAGACCACGTGGGAATTAGGGAGTTATCTACTAAGCGGCTGCAAGAGAAGTCCCGAAGTGGCGAAATGCCGAAGTTCCGAAATTCTGAAGTGCCGAAGTGTCGAAGTGCCAAAGTTCCAAAGTGCCGAACCGAAATGCTGAAGTCCCGAATTGCTGAAGTCCCGAATTTCGGAATTCCGAACCGAAAATGTTCACCATGCACATCCCTAGTGACTAGGGCTGCATAAATAAATAAAGTGATTTAAGTTCGAAATGAAGGTGAATTGAGCAGTGAGACTGCAAGGCATGATCTATGTAACAAAACTGCTTATTTATGCTAAAGTTGTTTTGGTGACTATAGTGTCCCTTTAAACTTAAAAATGTGCTTTGAATATCCAACAATTCTCACATTAATGAATAACCCGATATGAGCTATGTCAATACCTGGGGTTTAGACTGTCGCCTTTATAGATTATTTAGAATTGGAACAGGTCACCATTGCTGAGAATTGGGAAAGCCAAAATATACTGACCCAAGGTTAAGCAACAAGAGGCCTTTATGAAAGCTGAAGTGCCAAAATTAGACATGAGTTATCTACATAATTGCCAAATAATAATCATTTTTAAGTTTTAAACGTAACTCACATCATTCACAGCCAGCATGACATTTGTATTTCAAAAGCTAAACAGTAGACACCGACGATATATGGAAGAAAATACTGTTGATACTGATTCAGAATCAGAAATAAAACTAAAATTCAGAAGAGACTATGATAAAACCCTTGTATAGATTATCTCCAAGGGAAGCACTGACAGGCAGAAGCTGAATGGAGTAGAGGTTGGGAGGGGTAAACGAGAAGAGTGCTTTCTCTCGGCAACAATAACTCTGTTATGTGGCACCTTATTCAGCAGATTCATGCTTTAGGTACAGTCTGAATACTTGAAAATTAAAGACATTATCTACAAACCCTTTGTTGAGTCATCCTCAATCGGTTGTTTAAAAGCAGTAATGTCGCTGAAAGTGCAAAGAAATAGTACCACTTTGTCCTGTTCATTTCGAATAGGGGCAATCTTCACAAAGAACCACACCGGCGTTCCTGAGAAATTAAACGGAAGCATTAAGCATATCAAAGCAGCTAAAAAAACAATTTTTTTATATATATAGATGTATATATAACCATCAGACTTGCAATAGAATTGTAGGACTTTGATAATTATTCCGAAAACTGAAAATGATGTAACACAAATGTTCACAGTCAGCTGAATGAAATCTTAAAACATACATTATTTTGCAGTCTTAATTTTATAGCTGTCTGTCCATCCCGCAGTCTGTTTTGATTTTTCAAAAACGGTAGTGTAGTGGGGAAAATCTGCCTTAAGTGCTCTTGTGTATAGTGCTTTATGTTTTGAAAACCCCTTGGTTCTCATGATGCTATTTGTTTACCTAATATAAAAAAACAAAACCAAAATACAGGGACCTTTAGGGGTCACTCCATTTTACAATTTCTGTGTTATTCTCTAGACTCAGTAATTTTATGAATGTTATGGATCCTTAGGTACCCTGTGCGAAAAATCTTCACAGGGCCCCTCACTGGCCACCTCCTCATCCAATAATTTCCACCATGTAAAAAGTGCTAAGTCTTCATTACATAGATGTTATGTTGTGTATTAATATAGTTTCTGAGCATATTATGCCTGTACACATGCATGATAATATGTGTGTAAATATTATACGTGCGTGCGGGCTGGCTGGCCAAGGCGAAATCTCTCCCCTACCAGGTTGCTGCAAGGTAACACACGTCCTGGTTTTTGCGAGTTGTGTTGCCATCTGGCACCTCTGTTGCCATGGCACCCTGTGTGGCCACATAGCTCGCACACCCCTAAAGCCCGCCTTGATCAAAGTTATAGACTTTACACAACTTATACCTCTATTTAATATTTTTGGATACTAACACCATTAACACTATTTAAGATTTTCATATTTTTAAAATATATTAATATATTTTTATATATAATTTTTTTTTAATATTCTAATATTTAGAAAAAATATATTTTAAAAGTTTAACCAAAAACATTGAATTATATTTCTTTCTAAAATATTTAAAAAGCTTATACAAAACTATTACATTGAGGCTTTAATAAGTAAGGTACACAGAATATGAGCATATGGGAGTCTAAAATAAAAAAAAAGTTATACAATATTTAAAAGCTGTTATAGTGTTTTGCGTGCCATTTTTCTGTATAGATATATTGTTGCCACAAACAGAACTATGCAAATTAATCACTCTAAGAAAACAACAGAGCACGTCAAAAAGAATCTAATGAGTGTAAAAGAAGTAGTTACAATACTGCTATTTCCAACCATACAATTAAGCTCTAGTTCAAGGGTCCCCAACTTTAAAACTACAGCTTCCATGATGCTTTGCCATTCCAAAGGTATGCAAAGCATCATGGGAGTTGTAGTTGTACAACATCTGGGGATCTACCTTTTGGTCACCTGTGCTTAAGTAGATTTTCCCCTTTTACAAGATATCACACCCTATAAACAAAATGTATCCAAATAAAATAGCAAGTGACTTAGCCGCAGGGACCAATCACTAGATATAGATCAGACTGTAACATATGACCTAGCAGATGGTATCTGCGCAACACCTACATACATCTCTACATGTGTTTACAGGCATTTCCAATAATATATATATATATTTTAATGTTTAATTTTTATTAGATATTAATGACATTACAATAAAGACAATACAATGACAATACCAAAATATTTGCAGAATTGTAAATTACATATATAAATAACACTGGGGTGTTGGTGTGAATTTGTATATCTCTAAGTGCGTTATCATAAGATAATGTTTTGTCCAACTCCAATGATTCATTCATACTTCCATTCATATAACATATTAACAGGAAAAAGATATATAAAAACAGAGGAGAAAGAGAGAGAAGAGAGATGGTGAGAGGAAGTATTGCGGTTAAAGATCATGAGGATATCCTGGCATTCTTTAGATAGAATGCTATGTTCAAATGAAGCCAGTATACGTTGTATATTTTATATGGCTATTTCTGTTTCTCTGGGTATTTTTTTATTTTTTTCTCTAGGATATAGTGTTACATTTTCCCCATATTTCTTTATGTTGGGAAAACCTACCAGAATTTCTTTAAAATGCCTCTTCCATCTGTCTTTGATAATTAATTTGTTTTTGTATTTCCAACCAGCACGGTGCTGTTGAAACTTTCCATTTTGTGGCTATTATAAGTTTGCCATTATATGGATAAGAAATGTTTTCTGTTCAAAGTCACAATTTAGAAAGTCTAAATGAAATAAGAAAGTTTGGGGCAATAACGATTTTTGGGATATAACTAGCTGTATAAATATGTTGAAAATATGATTCTTGATTCCTGCTAAATCTTCGCATTCCCACCACATGCAGTAAAGTGTATATTTTTTTTCTTTTGGACATCTCCAAGATTTTTCAGAATATCTAGTTTTGAATTTCTTAATTCTATATGGAGTGAGATACCATCTGTGGGTAATTTAAAAAAAGTTTCTTGTAGGCTAAGACTATGAGTTGTTCTTCTAATTCGTCTCCCCATTTGTTCATTGGGAACAATTTATTTATATCTTTCCCATTTAATTATGGATTTTGGTTTCTCTGTATCCTTTAGATTTTTAATTATAAACATTGTTTTTATAGTGATTACTGATAAGATTTTTAAATTCTAGATGTTCCTTAATAGCCTGATTATCAATCAGATGGTTTAATTATGCATAATTAAGCCATTCCTGGTCAGGTAGTCCGAATTGTTTTTTAATATCTGTAAATATTTGTTATTTTCCCTTGGGGGGTATTTATATTAATTTCTGAATATTGCATATTTTCCATTTAGATAGAATTATATCTTTAATATAGAATTGGAAAGTTTCAATTGGTGCGGTAAGAACTAATTCATTACTTCTTTAATTTGGCCGGGGGCAGATACGCAAGATAATCAATTTATTGATTGATTCCACATCATAATTCTTATATATTTGTTCCATTTTCCTTTTTCTTTCCTCCCTTCTTCTTTCCTTTTTCTTTCTTTCCTTTTTTCCCTCCTCCTCATTCTCTCATTTCTTTTCTTCCTCTTTTTCCTCTCTTCTTCTCTCCGATTTCTCCTCTCCTCCTTCCTTCTTTCTCAAGCTCTTTCCCTTTTTAAGGACCTTTAGTTTTCCCAACTATGTACAAATATAGACAAAATATGTACAATAGTATTTATGCACTAATATGAGCTGTTGCATTAAAGGGGCTATTCACGTTATAGAAGCTATTTACAGTGATATATACAGTGCTTCTTAATGCCACTCTGTATAATGAGAGTTTCCTTATTCTTTATGAGACTTTATGAGGCTTTTCCATCTGTTTATCTGTTCATGCGTGTCTTGCCACTAAGTCTCCATGCCTGTTGTCCCGTTACCATACAGGTCTGCACGAGTGCAAATTTTCAGGCGTGTGTATGGAATACCATTCTTAAGTAACTAGGAAGACAAGGGAAGGAGCAAGCAAGGGATGGAGTCTCTTCCTTACTTGAGGCTGAAGGAGGGGGGGAAAGAGATCAATCCTCCCTTTAGAAACCTTTAGTACATATAAAATATATACGCACTAAAATGGCCAATGATATTTTTTAATATAATAAAATAAAAACTCATAATACATTATTTAAGTGTATAGAACACATTTTAGTGCAGTTTCGCCAGGTGTAATTTAAGACCTTTTTAAATGCTTTGGAATTCCACAGATGGATCCGACAGTGTATGTAGATGAAGATTTGAAAACCAGCAAAAAAAACTCCAATGTGTCACTCAGATTTTTACAGTGGCATGTTGTTTATACGAATGTGAACAAGCAATAAGATACAACTGCACACTGCACTCTCTCCCAGAATAACATAATCACCATTTGTGGTTACACAGTTTACCAGTCACATAGCACTCTCTGGGAGCTCTGCATGAAAGCAGAATTAATTATCTTAAATCATTACAATGAACACAGAATGGCTGAAATGAAACTTAACCCATGCAGTAATGGCCGGTTGCAATAGCCAGTATATGAACAAATTCTGGATAAGTTTGTAAATCACAGGCATCCTAAAAATAATATATTTTTTTTAAAGTGTCTTGCTTTGTATTGCCCTGCATACAGTTTAAAGGTGGAGATTTGCCTATAACTTTAGAAAAAGTGAGCTCAGGCACATATGTTCCACTGTAAAGCCAAAACTTTGCCTGCTCCATGATAAGCAACGTTTAATTAATAGTGGTGTGTGTGCAGATCTCTTACTACAATTCTAACAAGTAGATTTTGAGAGTTAGGCTTGTATAAGAAATTACAGAAAGATATGAATGAAGCCTTATATAAACTATGATGCCCGGTAGCATGTATATTACATATAGATAACTTATTCTTGCTAACTGAAGAAGAGGTAGCTGCCACCTGGCAATTAACGAGCTAATAGAATTATACGAACATTCTATTTTGGAATCACTAAAGCTGAATGAAGAATAAGCATGAAAACTCAGTAGAATGTCATTAACCATAACACTTATAATATTAAAACATTGCATGACACTTACTATTTTTTTTGTACATTAAAATTTCAAAAGAATTCATCTCATAGTTCTCAAACGTCTGTCGAACTTTGTCAATGGTGTCTTTGTCCGTCAACTCTCCATACATAAAGCTGAAACACACCAAGGCACAAAACAGGTCTGTTTCATTGAGAATGTTGATTAAATAATACAGACTGGTAATATCACACTTATCATTACTATATGTCTACAAGGGACTAGAACAGAAGTGGCCAAAAAGATCTATCTCCCATGAAATTTGCCCTACAGCTGATAAAGCATCATGTCAGTTGTAGTAGTCATTGGGCTACTAGATGGAAAAAGGAAAGGGTCGGTCTTATGAAGTAGTTTTGGTGCACAGATCATACTTCTGCAACCTCATTGCTCAATTCAATGAAATTTATGAGTTAAAGGGCCATTCCAAGCACCATAGTCACTTCATCTTGCTGAAGTGGTAAAAAATCTTGTTTAGCCACACTGCTAATGAGGATATTGCACAGATCTAGTATCAGTGCCCAACTTTGGAAGGAAACAACAGGCTACCAGTACTGTGAATCTGGTTAGCCTCCTCCAATAGCATTTTAAATTTTGACTTTACAACAAGATGCAAAAAAGAAAATGGCAAAATGTTAAACTATATACTGCATGAATGATATAAATACATAAATTATGTACCATGAATTATATACATACATAAATTATGTACGATTTCCATGGCTATGACAGATTACAGTCCACAGGTTTCTTTGTACCTCAGGCCCCTGGCACCTGTGTCCTCCACCTTGTCCTCGCCTGCCTCTCTCCCCCCCCCCCCCACCCCTTCGCTGTTCACACTCAGAAGTGCTTGCTGATAATAAGAGGCTACTCAATGAGCATACATACTTATATATTTAGAAGGATAAAATTTGAAACTAAATGCATGCGTGATTTCATTTGGGGTATATTTACTAAATAGTGAAAAAAAATTAGGTTTTCTATGCGAATGCTGGTAATGACTGTTCTTATCTGACCTTCTGATGGTGAGAGTGTTTGTCGATAACTGAACTTTTTACTATCATTAGTGGCTGATGCAAAGCTGGTACTGGTTACTGGTGTTACATGTTACAACGCACAATGTACCAATGAATGTCCCATGTGTACATATTGGTTAAGATTAAATCCCAATACTTTTATTTGAAATACAAGAAATGTTTATTAAGACTTAAAGAGGATCCGTAACCATTGATTTCTACATTTAATTGTATATTCCATACTTCACAAAAAATACTTTTATTTTGCCATGTGATTATTTGTTTCTTTATTTAATTTGTTTACAAGGATTCTAGGGGTGTATTTTCTAGAACAATTCTCAGAAATATTTTGGATTATTTTAATGAAAAGTTTTGGGCATATGCAAAAATTGTGGTTTTATAATAAATACATATAACATTCTTTTTTCTGTCTCACTAATCTTCCACATCTTTGAAGTTAAAGGAACACTATAGCATTAGGAATACAAATATGTATTCCTAACGCTATAGAGCCCTAGTCACCATGTAGGTGACTAGGGCTCGTTCAGGGGCGAATAAATGGTTAATTAACCATTTATTTGCTTACCTTAATCCTCTCCTCCTCCATCGACAACAGCATCGGAGTGGAGTCGAATGCGCATGCATGGGGATCTATTTTGACACTGGAGGTCCGTGAGGACGTCCAGCATCATATAACTGTGATTTACTCCGTGTAAATCGCGGAAGCGGCCTCTAGTGGCTGTCAGGGCGTCAGCCACTAGAGGATGGATTAACCATCAGTGTAAACATAGCAGTTTCTTTGAAACTGCTATGTTTTCAGCTGCAGAGTTAAAACTAGGGGGACCTTGTACCCAGACAACTTCATTGAGCTGAAGTGGTCTGGGTGCCTATAGTGGTCCTTTAAAGAATAAAAACAAAGTGTAGCCAATATTTTTGTCATTATAAAGTGAGTTGCTAAATACCTGCAAGTGCTACTTTTTTGCATAACCTCCGCTCTGTGATATCCAGACAGCTTGCAGAATCCATCATTGCTGTAAACAATTGGCCAATCCACTATCTGGGCATTACCCAGGACAAAATTAGTATCTGTTCCAGAAAAAAAAAAAAAGATAAATGTTTTATTAAAATAACAATTGTAAGTTTTTTGGTTTTTTTTACTTTATCTTACTATATGAACTGCAACACAGTAGAATAGTATAAAATGATATTCCAAAATTATCACTGGAAAAGTAATTAAATATTCATGAATCCCAAAGATCCAGCAATGTCAAATAGAACTAGCCTTTGAATGCTACATAAGTACAGCTTAAAATGTTAAAGGTAGTTATTAAATTATTTCTATTGCCTAAAACTGAAAAAACAATAATTGTGTTTTTTAGATCACCTGCAATAATATTATAAAATGGAAAGGACCGTGGAATTGGGTAAATTAAAAGGTGGATTACACAGCAAAGAGAGTCAGAGCTGGTCATTAAACTGTGAACTGGCAGGAATTCCCCAATTAATAGAATATTTTAAACTAAAATAATTGGAAACCTTTTAAAAATCAGCAAAATTGAATCTATGGCATATTAGCCTAAAATTTGCAACTCCCAACAAATCACAGTTTAGTGAAGCCCCTAAGTGAGTTATGGTGATACGATAAAAGAATTGCAAACTTTTGTAGGACAATAGTGTCAAAATAATTTCATTTTATCTTGTTTTCCAACTTTAACCTATGTTACAGCATATGCTCTGCAATTGCCTTCCCAATGTACCATATTTTATTGCCTTGTTAGTTAAAGTGGCAGTCTAATCGCTATAACCAGTACAAAGAGTTGTAGTGGCCATAATGCAGAGGAGTCCTCTGGAGCCATTCCATGGTAATGCGTCAAACGGTTTTTTAATGGATTGTCACTTATCTGGGTCTCTCTGGTCTCTGGTCTTCTGTGAAAGCACCATGGAACATTAACATTCTGCTTTAGGATTAATTCTGTCCAAACTTGGACATCATTCACGGGCTGGGGACTGCCAACATATGGGCCTAGTTAGATGTCTAGTTATGGGTCTATTATGTGTGCACAAGGTTAGGACTCTGTATCTGACATTTAGCCTGAACTTGCCAAGTTGGAAAATATTTTAATACCCAGCCAAGATGTAGAATTGTTCCAACGTGGCTGTTTACACATAAATCTAGTGATTATCTAGGCGAGGGTAATGCAATTCACCAATATGGTTGGACTATTTAGTAAACAAAGCCAGTTTGGTTGGACTGAAAGTGTAGGCATTCAGTAGTCAATTCTAAAACAAACTATCATTAGAGAAATCTGTCATAATAATCATTTAGATAGCTTACTCTGTGACTATTTATTACTAAATTTTGTAGTTTGTTTTTTAATTCACAAAACGCAGAGCTGACACATACAGAACTGAATTTGGAGATTGCTGTTGAATGACTGCTTGAGTTGCAATAAACTGGTGTTGATCATTTCTATATTATTATATTTTTTATTTACACCTTTGTGTAATTATTTTATTTTTAAAATAGTTGGAGCTTACACAATAAACACTGAAATTTTACAGAATTAAGAACTACATTGCAAAATGTAGGCTAAGTAGGCTAGTTGTGACTATTTCTGAATATTCTCCCAAATCCGCTACTAGTACCTAGATTTTGCAATTAGTATTTCAATTCACTATACTTCTACTAAATAAACCTCAGTTACATTGTAGTACAAAGCGTGTTATGCTATTGATTATTGATGATTTTTTAAATTTCTATACAGCAATATATGTATGACGGCAAAACACTGTCACTACAAGTCACATAATTCCCAGGCAGCCGCAAGGTAAAATAAGTTCAGCAACAGATTTGCATCTTGGCAGTACTGAATATTTATTTTTTGTTTACGTAATGCCATATACAACTCAAAAAGTACATCTAATGCATAAGAACACCTAATTTTTTTTTTGTGACACAGTTACGGATTCTGACATGGTAAATTCTTTCGAATAATCACTGTTCGAAGGATACAAAGACATCAAAAAGATGAGTGAGGAACATTCAGGGGATAGCAATAAAAAGACTTAATAGCCTTATATAAACACGTATCAAAATGAAAGCATTTCACGATGAGTCTATTCAACAGAAAAACGCTCCAGGCTGAGTTTACAAGGACAATGTCTGAGCATTATTTCTCAATGTTTGTACAAATTATGCTGGGGACAATGCAGCGCTCCTGCAACAAATAGACATGATTGACTTGTTATAAAATTTGGAAACAAATTATTACCTGGACTGGTTAGATCATTAACAGATGAGATTTTTTTTATCGGTGCAGCATTAAAGAATCCTCTTAACCCTTTCAGCGAACAAAGAGAGTGCATGGCACAGTGTATTACTCATTACCATGACTATGGAAAGGTTATAATATATGTTTAAAGGGGCACTCACTACACTATTAATGTAGTGGTTATGGTGCAAAGAGTCTGAGGGTGACAGCCGTGTTTTTGTAAAACTGTTTGGGAGCAGAGTGACAAAAACCAGGACTCTCACAGGCACCTGGAGACTGACCCCTCTTCAGCTGCATTGATAAAGTGGAATTTTGACTTCCGCGTTAGCCGTATCAATTCTGTCCTACCTAGATGGCAGTGATAGGCTAATAAAGATGGGGGTGGATTACAATTAGTGATTTAATTTCGCTCCCGCTATAGATAGATACATACTTGGCTTCTCCGCTCTTTGACATCATAGTATTGGGGAAGTGGGGGTTTAACACGTGGGATTTTCTGTTGAATAGACTCTATATTGACTAAGAACAAGAGACTTCTACAGGAGGAACATATAGACACATATATGAGATTACTTTACTAAGCACAATCTACACACATTAATAGTTCCATGCCAAGATTTGTTATTTTACAAGAACTACTGCATAACACATTATACACAAGTGCACACGGAAAGAACCGGCTCAGTGCTTAACCCTTTGGTAGCTAGAAGGGAACGGCCAAGCACTCAAAGGGTTAACATTGTTGCAATACCATGTTTAACAATGTATCTCGAAATCTCATTGTATGAAGAGATGACAGAAAATCTGATATTTTTCCCTTATATTCTATTTTTTAGACCATGGTTTTGTAAATTAACAGAAATTGGTACAGAACAGTTTATGGTATTAGGGATGGAATCTAGAGGAAGCCTGTATGGGTACATTGTTACTGTGTAGCACCATATTTGTACCTGTCTGTCTATGAGATAATGTCCAGACTGAAAAATCAAAAAGAAAACATGTTAAGGCATATACAAGACCATAGTTCACGTTTCATAAAAATTTGACCAAGTACACTTAGGTGAGTCGATCGAGACTTCGTTCTGAGCCGTAACGATGACAAGCAACTGCTCTAAACAATCTGCCTTCGGATTATAAAGTTCCAATTTGTCAGATTATAACAGAAAAATAAATAAATTCGCACTATGCACCATGATGACATATTTTCAGTGTTTCTTGTAAGAGTCAAAAGTTATGATGGAACCTGCAACAAATGTGCATTAAATACAAAAAGCAAAAACAAATACAGGAATGTTTGTCTGTACACAGAGCGTGAGTTTTGCTGTCATCATACATACATGTTTTTGTGACGAGCCGTGAGCCACTCAAACTTAAAAGTCCCATCTGCACATAATTATGGTCTTTAAGATATGAAGTCCTCTGCTACTATTCAGGCCTTAAAGGTTACTAGCCACTGTAAGCCGTGGTATACTCATCAGAGCTACATTTCTACTAGCCAGGAGTAAAGCGCCATATGGTATGGTATGATTCCAATATATTTCAAAGACACAATTCAGACAAATCAGATGTAGGAGCATCTAAACCCAGTTTCAGCTACAAACTCATCATTCACAGCTACACATTATCATTCAATGTTTGTGATCCTCTGTATTCACTAACACTGACACTGAAATTTGCTAAAATGAGAACTGAAAGTGAATTTAAATTGAATTTCCAATTTACAGAGAGCATAGCTGACTAGCTGAATCATTCTAGTTTGGCTATTTTGAACATAAATTTGAAACTCACTTTGAATTCTCAGTTTACTGAATAACCCTGTGAGAATGGGCTATGTCATGAAGTTCACTTAGATGCATCATAATCTAGGGGTGTAAAAACCAAATAGATAAAAAGAAACTCTCACAGGGTAACTATGGATAAAGCTGATTTGGAGAATTTTGGCCATATGGCTATTTTGAATTCATTAGAATTCATTCTCCAGTGAATTAAACTGAATTTATATAAAAACATTACAGTTTATTCCCAATCCATATAAATGAACTATACACTACTAACTACATAAACTAGGAAAACTATTCCTGTCTAAAGCTGACCTCATGAAAAGGGTAAACATCACTGCAATTCACCATTTGCTATTTTCGTCTCAATACAGCAATTTAAACCCATGTCTTCATACACATGAGTAAAAATACACTCAAAGGGAAAGAAAAGCAGAGATGGGTGGGCGCAATTTCAGTACCTCTTGCCAGCGGGGCGGTGAGGCACGTTTTTATGACATTGTAACATTAGCAGTCATTGGGTAGCATCAACATTGGACGAAGCCGTGAATGTGGACATAAGGACATATTTTGAAGCTGGTGTGCAAACACTGGCAATGTTTTTTTTACTGGACACAGATCACCTCAATGTGTTATTGGCCAGGACATAAAATGTACCATATGTAGTAGCTGTCATATTAAACAGAAGGCTGATCAATAAACCAAGAAAAAACCCTCAGAGATATACATTAAAGAATTAAATGACCACTACACGTTTAACAATTTAGTAGATATAAACCCAAATAAAACATACATGATTGTTGTTCTAATTGTTTGGGGGTATATGAAAAAATAGCATGCAAAAGCATTAGTCTGCAGATTCCCCTTTTTCCCGAGCCCACAATATTGAGGAGCCTCTGTGCACGCATACATGTTAATGACTTTTCAATGCTTCTCAGTGAGCTGTACCAATGCTTCTCAGTGTGCTGCACCAATGCTTCTCAGTGAGCTGTACCAATGCTTATCAGTGAGCTGTACTAATGTTTTTCAGTGAGCTGTACCAATACTTCACAGTGAGCTGTACCAATGCTTATCATTGAGCTGTACTAATGGTTCTCAGTGAGCTGTACCAATGCTTCTCAGTGAGCTGTACCAATACTTCTCAGTGAGCTGTACCAATGCTTATCAGTGAGCTGTACTAATGCTTCTCAGTGAGCTGTACCAATGCTTCTCAGTGAGCTGTACCAATGCTTCTTAATGAGCTGTACCAATATTTCTCAGTGAGGTGTACCAATGCTTATCAGTGAGCTGTACCAATATTTCTCAGTGAGGTGTACCAATGCTTATCAGTGAGCTGTACTAATGCTTTTCGGTGAGCTGCACCAATACGTCTCAGTGAGCTGCACCAATGCTTCTGAGTGAGCTGCACCAATAATTATCAGTGTGCTGCACCAATGTTTCTCAGTGGGCTGCACCAATGTTTCTCAGTGAGCTGTACCAATGCTTCTCAGTGAGCTGCACCAATGCTTATCCGTGTGCTGTACCAATGCTACTTGGTGAGCTGCACCAATGCTTCTTAATGAGCTGTACCAATACTTCTCAGTGAGCTGTACCAATGCTTATCAGGGAGCTGTACTAATGCTTCTCGGTGAGCTGCACCAATACTTCTCAGTGAGCTGTACCAATGCTTATCAGTGAGCTGTACTAATGCTTCTCGGTGAGCTGCACCAATACTTCTCAGTGAGCTGCACCATTGCTTCTAAATGAGCTGTACCAATAATTCTCAGTGTGCTGCACCAATGCTTCTCAGTGAGCTGTACCAATGCTTCTCAGTGAGCTGCACCAATGATTCTCAGTGAGCTGTACCAATGCTTCTCAGTGAGCTGCACCAATTCTTCTCCCTGAGCTATACCAATGCTTATCAGTGTGCTGTACCAATGCTTCTTGGTGAGCTGCACCAATGCTTCTCAGTGAGCTATACCAATAATTCTCAGTGAGCTGCACCAATCCTTATCAGTGAGCTGTACCAATGCTTCACAGTGAGCGGTACCAATAATTCTCAGTGAGCTGCACCAATGCTAATCAGTGAACTGTACCAATGCTGCTCAGTGAGCTGCACCGATGCTAATCAGTGAACTGTACCAATGCTTCTCAGTGAGGTGTACTAATGCTTCTTGGTGAGCTGCACCAATCCTTATCAGTGAGCTGTACCAATGCTTCTCAGTGAGCTGTACCAATAATTCTCAGTGAGCTGCACCAATGCTAATCAGTGAACTGTACCAATGCTGCTCAGTGAGCTGCACCGATGCTAATCAGTGAACTGTACCAATGCTTATCAGTGAGCTGTACTAATGCTTCTCGGTGAGCTGCACCAATCCTTATCAGTGAGCTGTACCAATGCTTCTCAGTGAGCTGTACCAATAATTCTCAGTGAGCTGCACCAATGCTAATCAGTGAACTGTACCAATGCTGCTCAGTGAGCTGCACCGATGCTAATCAGTGAACTGTACCAATGCTTATCAGTGAGCTGTACTAATGCTTCTCGGTGAGCTGCACCAATCCTTATCAGTGAGCTGTACCAATGCTTCTCAGTGAGCTGTACCAATACTTCTCAGTGAGCTGCACCAATGCTAATCAGTGAACTGTACCAATGCTGCTCAGTGAGCTGCACCAATGCTAATCAGTGAACTGTACCAATGCTTCTCAGTGAGCTGCACCAATGCTTCTTGGTGAGCTGTAGGAGAGTTCAATGAGATGTGGAGAAGGCAGACATGCTGGGCTTCAGTTAGTAACTTCAGTTAGCTCCGTGGAGCTAATGGAGGCAGATGAAAACTTGCCCAACTGTCTGAGTGACAACCAGGGAGGTGTTTCAATCCCAATAATAAAAAGTCCAATTTCAAATGAAATGGACACTTATAAACTTTAAAAAAACTTAAAGACTCCAGACTCTTAAATAATTCCAGCAAGCTGAAGTGCTTTTCGTATCTGAAATGTTTCTTTAACTGCTTTCCACCTACAGGATAGGTATCCTATATATTATTAAGCTGTGCTGCAGTATGTAGTGTTCATATGCTGAAGCATGCTGAAGTAAGTTAATCAAAGCAGTTTATTTGGGAATCCTTTTTCATTTATGAATGATCCCCTCCTGAAATATATGTATTTGCCACCTTATTGATATATATATATACATACATACATACACATACACACATATATATACACACACACACACACACACACACACACACACACACACATATATATATATATATATATATATATCAAAAGTCAAATGTATTATGTTTACTAGAATATATTGGAGTTTGTTGGACCTCATTGTGTCCTATGAAATTGGTATAATTTGCTATTTTTTGTAATGAAAGCTAGTATTAGCCAGATTTGGCTCATTTCCTGCTTTTTCATGGAATCTAGGGTACATTTCTATCCATCCAGAAGCTATCTTGCTCCATTCAGTGATTGATAAATTCTTTGAATATATTCAGGATTTTACTCTCCAAATGTCTTTGCTTTGATTGTTTCAAATATTCTTTGCTTTTTGAGCTAAGATTCATTCAGACTTAGTGAATATCCCGTTGTGAATTCTACTTACTTTAGGGCAACAGTTTTCATATACTGGCCAACAGCACAAATAATTGATACATCTTCATGAAACTATGGTGTCCCTGATAATAAAAAAGCCTACCACTTAATGTTAAGAAAATGCTGTAATTCCAAATGAATGTATAAAATGTCAGTACGACAGCATATGTCACATGCTGGGATCATGTCCCATGAACATCCACACATGATACATTCAATGATTTACATTTAAAAAAAACATCAATCTGAAAACGCTAACTCTATAGTTTAATTCTTGTTGCTTCTCTTACTTCTATATGAAAAACTGCCCATGAATACATAAACAATATTGACAGAAAATGGAGCAAGTATTGCTAAGGTAATCAATATAGCCAGTGTTATATGTAGGATATTTTCTCTTTAATTTATTGATCACTGATCCAGAATATAAATTGCTTATTTACATAATAATTAGATCTATCCTTAAATATTTTATTGTGACTTTCTCTTCTGCAACGACAAGGCAGATTATTGGATTTGTCTCATTGTATTTAAGACATTATATAAATAATTCATCGAAATACAAATCAAAAATACTAAAATAAAAAAAGATATTCAATATTGAAGCTTCTGCCTTTACTACAATTCCCAGGTTGAAGTGAGCTCTTGTCAAACCAGGAAGTCATTCAGATAGTCATTCTCAGCTTTCAATATAGCACTTCTAAAAGTATCCACTAAGCATTGCTTTTTGGATATAGCAAGGGTTTGAGGTACTTCTAACATTTCAACTTCAACTCCCAAAATTCATGACATCGGAAAGTATACACAAATTACACCATCTAACCTGCACATTGCACCAAATGTGCGTGAATGCTGCAATTGCCCTTAATCCACAAATTGTGCCAATTAAATAACCAATAGTCAAGTAATAATCAAATAAAATAGTGCCAAACTCAGGAAGCGGTAGATTTTTATTTAAATCTGCGCATCAGGTTCCTAATTCTTTTTTTTTTTTAGAACCTTAGGATTGGCCATGGGCAGAGGAAGCCACGCCTCTTTGATGATGTTGCAGGAGGAGGAGAGATGAGCAGCACCGAAGGACTCTCTGCACTGGGAAAATATAAACAAACCCCTTAATTTCATTAATTTTACAGCAAACATGAGTGGGGCCGACCACTCCAGATAGGGACAGGGATATTAAAGGTTTAGGAATCCATTTTCAATGCTACAGTGTTCCTTTAATAGTAAACTATTTATAAAAGATTGTTACCACACTAACACGTTAAACATTGTCACAACGCTGAGAGGGTTAAATTATTTGGCCCGTGACCGCAGCATTTCTGCTCATTGTGACAGGGATTAATCATAACCATTTGTGTCATTATTTCACCCAAAGCATGCACATCAAGAGGCATGATAGAACATTGCTTCCTGTGACAGTGCGATGCCTGAATCCAAACGCCAGTGTAACAGACAAAAAGGTATAAAAATAGCATTTTAAGAAATACAAGCTCTGCCTCCTCTACAGTCTTCACCGTGTAACTAGTGGTTTCAATAAAACATGGGTAATATATAAAGACACTCAGGGGGTCACTGAACAGCGAATTGCAGTCAATTGTTATCTGAATTGCAAAATTTAGGGATCATGCATTCATCTGGAAAAATTCTCCTAATCAGATCTAGGCTAAAGCCTCCAGTCGTAGCTTCCCTAGCTAGCCTGAATATTAAAAAAATATATTTTATTCCTTACAATTCATTATTTAGTGAGCAAACCATTCAAGTGGATTTCATTATAATTGGTCAAAAGAGCAAAACTAAAAAAGAGTTGACTTGGAGAATTTTTACAATTACAATTTTTTACAATTCTGATATCTTTGGCCTAAGATTTGAAAGGAACACTATAGTCACCAGAACAAGTACAACTTAATGTAGCTGTTATGGTGTCTATAGCATGTCCCTGTAGGCTTTTTAATGTAAAGACTGTGCATGTGCAATAGCCTCCCAATACCTTCCTAAGGAAAGAGGCTGAGATCATCAAGTAAATTACAGAAAAAAAAGTAAGAAATTATCTTTAACTCCAGTACAATCCCTCCCTTGCACAGCTTTCCTGTACTATATCACTATAGTTTTATACATTGCCACCAGTGAGCTGAAATGTTAACTCTCAGGAGATAAGTACCATGCTGTGCCGACATCCCACTACTGATCGATCGCCTCACTTTCCGTGTTAATTCACCATGCGCAGTATTCATGCTGTGAAAGGTGTAATTCTCTTTATGGGAAAGATTCTATAGAATAATAAATTGAAGCCCCATGCCGTGCACGTTAGAGGAAATATCTAACCAGCGGTTCTAAGAAATTTGTGGTTTATTTATAAAGAGGTATTGCGGTACTTAATGTGGAACAATCACCATGGATACTTTTAGAACTTACCCCAGAATCAGCCCTATTAATAAAGCTTTACTTTTTGCCAGGGGACCTCTTTGGCTCTCAAAAAAAATTATTATTCGTAGAATAACGAACATCCAGTGATAACGGTAAGTTTTACTTCTAATTCTGTGCACATCTTTAGTTAAAATGCTAATACAGGCCTAAAACCTTGATCACTGTGCCTAGACAGGTATCGCTAACAAGAGTCAATGAAGACCAAAACAAATGTCTGTGTTTTTTTTTACTTCTTCTTAAGAAGCAGCTTGCCAACATTGTGGATCTGTATTGCCCTTTTTTAATGGGATCGATCTGATATGCAAAATAAACAGATTTTCTCTGTACTGTTGTAAGGGAGCTAAGACCTGTATGAGAACTGAGTGTGGACTAATGGAACAACAACTGCAACGTTTTTGTCTATTCTTATCCACATATTTTTGTTTTTGCAATTTACCAATAAATCCTTTACACCAACCAACAGAAACCCAAAGAATGCATTGATATCTTTTAACAGAGGCAAAAAAGCATATTTCTGTTATTTGCAATTGAATTGTAAAAATAATTTGGGAAAAGAAGATAAGCGTCCCTGAGAAAATGCTCCGTGAATATCAAAGGGTAATTGAGAGACTAGAAATTTGTGACATTTTCACCACTCAAGTTAATCATTTGTAATTATCAAATACAATTCATTGAAAAAACATGAATCAGCATAAACAAGAATTATTAGTCTTATCTTCCATAAACGCCATATGAAAACAATCACACATGATTTTACTTTTTTTTTTAAATTAAAAAACCTTAAAACAGGACTTCTTTAAAAAAAATGGTGGATCATAAAATTCTGTGATATTTAGTTTAAATTAAAGAGACACAACACCAAAAACAACATAAGATCATAACTTATTGTAGTGGTTATGGTGCTAAAAAAAGCATGGGTGCATCCCTCTGCTTTTTGTCAAACCTTTTTTCAGCAATTTGACAAAAAAAAAAATGGTCTCCCTGTAATATATATTTATACTCTCTCATTTTCCAGCTACGACATTTGCACAGGTGAGCAGGGTTCAGATGTGCCTTATGGCCTGTTGGTGACACCAAATTTAAAAAAGGCTCCTTCTATCATAGGGAGACATATTTCCACACTTCGAATTCACTAAAGTGAGAATTCAATGTAAATGTAAAATTTTAGGACAAAGTAGCCAATCTGGAAACATACCTGACTTATGGCTGTGAGAGCATTATGGGAGAAGTAGTCCTCAACATTTGGAGTTCCAAAGGTTGCCTACTCCTAGACTAGAGAACGTCTTACTATCTGATCAACATACAACATCTTTCTGAACAGCATGCAGCATTATTCCATACGTTATACTCTACTATGTATCTTGAGCTGATTTCCAAAGTTTCTGAAATCCATCTGGTCGATGGATTAAATCCCATTTTCCATACTTAATTTTGTTGCTGTTTGTCCTTAAGTATCACCAACACTCACTAGTGAGAACTAGACCTGCAGGCCAGTTCTCTATATATCCACATTATTCTATATGTTTCAACCTTAGTGTAACTTGTTTCTTGAAATTCTATGGCATTGTCTTGAAAATGTTCTGGCTTATTTGTCCTTCATCGTGACTTCTGATCTCCCCTTACCTAGTTCTTCTTGTGTTATTACCATCGTCAGCTTCCCTGATCTTGGCTAGTTTTTTTATTCAGTGATTTATCTTATAAAATAAAATATCACCGTGACACCTACTTGATTTTACTATTTGGATAAGAAGTATCAGAAAGACCCGAGAGAGTTCTACACCATCCTATCATTATTGTATTTACTTTTTTGTGCAGATGATATCTTCGAGATGCAAAACAAGAGTTAAATTGAGAAGTCTCTGTAAATCCAATTCCCTTTCTATATTCATGTATTTGATTTGACTGATTTGAACACAATTCAGCTTCTCGCGGATTTTAAGCAACAGTGTTCAAGTTGTCTTATAAATGGGACAGTCATTTGGGGAATTATGTGAGTATTCAAAAGAAATAGTTTCTTCTATTACAGAATAAAAAGATACATTAGTATTTATGTAAGCAGTCTTCGAGTGCATTGAAAGTCCTTCTACACAGTGTGGATAATTATCTGAAGTCTTATAAAAGGTCAAGTGGACTGCGCCTAAATAGTTACAAATAGATGTACTGTTGTGTAATAAACACTGTCAAAAGTAGGCAACCACTCTTTGTAAATTTAAAGGACCAATTTGGATACAATAACAACTTAACTGAAATTAGGTTGTTATGGTGTCAGGGGATACCTGGGGCTTCTTTACCTTAAGGGGTTTAATCAAGGGGTTTAATTAAAAAAATGGTATATACCTTTTTATGAATGAGGAGCCAGTGATTAGTCAGAGGTAAGGAAATGCCAGTGAGTCAGTGGCACCATAAAAACTTAATCAACCATGAAGTTACTATGATGCCTGAAGTGTTCCTTTAAGGTGTTTTTATTAATCCATTGTAAAACAGTGTATTTGGTGCAAAAATAATACACAAAAAATGCTCATGGTACTTACAGTTAAGGGAACACATCAAATTTAGCTTCCTTTGCATTTCCGATAATGATTATCATACCTAGTCAATCTCATGGTACTTACAGTTAAGGGAACACATCAAATTTAGCTTCCTTTGCATTTCCACTCCCTACCTCCTCCCACCCTGCTGACGTTAACAAAGGGTTAAAACCCTTTTATTTACTTACCTGATCCCAGTGCCGATGTCCTTTGGTGCTGGGTCGTGGCTCTGCTTCCTTAAATGTTACTAATACGCATGCGCGGCGAATGCTGCGCTTGCATTAGGCCCTCCCCATAGGTAAGCATTGGATCAATGCTTTCCTATGGGGAAATAGCTGACGATGAATGTCCTCATGCAGAGTGTGAGGACGTCCAGCATCATTTACCGCACCAAAAGTCCGTTAGCATCCAGGAGGCACCTCCAGTGGCTGTCTGATAGATTTTGATAGACAGCCACTGTGGGCAGACTTAGTGCTGCAATCAGTGGCATACATACCAGGGTCGCAGGGGTCGCGGCTGCGACCGGGCCCGGCCCACCAGGGGGCCCGGCCACCCCTGCGACCCGGTATGTACCCACAGGGCCAGCCTCTTCCCCTGGGGGGCCCAGGAGCCGACCACCCCAGACCTTCAGCTCCCTCGCGCACCACACTGATGCTGGTGCCGGAAGATGACGTCATCTTCCGGCGCCGGCATCCCTACGCGGCGCGCGAGGGAGCTGAAGAGGAAGCACTGAGTGCTCCCTCGCGCGCCCGCCTGCCCGACCGGCCACCCGCCTGCCTGGGGTCAGCAGCACCACTGGACACCAGGGAATAATCCCCCCAGCACTCCAAAAGGTAAGGAGGCTGGGGGGATTATATTAAAAAAAACAAAAAAACATGTTAGAGTGAGTGTGAGTGTTAGAGTGAGTGTTAGTGTTTGAGTGTGTGTGAGTGTTAGAGTGTGTGTGAGTGTTAGAGTGAGTGTTAGAGTGAGTGTGAGTGTTAGTGTGTGTGTCTTAGTGAGTCTGTTAGTGAGTGTGTGTTTGTCAATGAGAGTGTATGTTTTGTAAGTGAGTGTGTATGTATGTCTGTCGCTGAGTGTGTCTCTGTTAGCTAGTGTGTATGAGTCTGTAAGTGAGAGTGTGTGTCTTCAGCACTTACCTTTCTCCAGCGCCGGACTCCCTTGGCGCTGGGGATCCCTCACCCTCTCAGCTCCGAATGAGACCGCGCACGCATTCAAACCGCCCATAGGAAAGCATTACTCAATGCTTTCCTATGGACGTTCAGTGTGCTCCTCTAGCGGCTGTCAGTGAGACAGCCACTAGAGGCTGGATTACACCTCAGTGAAACATAGCAGTTTCTCTGAAACTGCTATGTTTTCAGCTGCAGGGTTAAAACTAGAGGGACCTGACACCCAGACAACTTCATTGAGCTGATGTTATCTGGGTGTCTGTAGTGGTCCTTTAAAGGACCACTATAGTGCCAGGAAAACATACTCGTTTTCCTGGCACTCTAGTCCCCTGAGGGTGCCCCCACCCTCAGGGACCACCTCCCGTCCGGCTCTGGAAAGGGGAAAGGGGTTAAAACTTACCTTTTTCCGGTGCTGGTCAGAGAGCTCTCCTCCTCCGATCCTCCTCTTCTCCTCCCCGTCAGGTGTATGCGCACGCGCGGCAAGAGCTGCGCGCGCATTCAGCCGGTCACATAGGAAAGCATTCATAATGCTTTCCTATGGACGCTGGCGTGCTCTCACTGTGAAAATAGGGGAAGGCTTAACCCATTCATAAACATAACAGTTTCTCTGAAACTGCTATGTTTATGAAAAAATGGGTTAACGCTAGCTGGACCTGGCACCCAGACCACTTCATTAAGATGAAGTGGTCTGGGTGCCTAGAGTGGTCCTTTAAGTGTGTGTGCATCTGAATGCACTGGCGTACATACAGCGGTCACAGGGGTCGCAGCCCTGTAACCCCTGCGACCAGGTGCCCACCGCCATGTGTTGCGGCCCGGCCCGCGTGCCGGGGGGGGGCCCCACGGATCAATTTTCGCACCGGGGCCCCATGGGTCATGTGTACGCCACTGGCTGCAATGTAAACATTGCAGTTTCTCTGGAACTATAATGTTTAACATCGCAGCACCAAGTGCAATAGGGACATTGCACCCAGACCACTTCAAAAAATGTGGTCAGGGTGCCTATAGTGTCCATTTAAGGCACACAGCCACAGTACATATTGCAAATAAAGAGAACAAATAAAAACATTATTTAATTTCTCCTTCTTTCAGCATGCTTTACCAATACAAACAGCCAGGTGTAAAGGATAGAGCTTATAACAGGGTAAAGAGGTGTAGATTTTTATAATAAATTTCATTTTTGCACACCTTACAAATACATATTTGGTAATCTCATAGGGGATAAGAAAATATAATATTACAAATCTTGGGAAGTGACAGTTTACCTTTAAGATATATTAAATACACACACATACATACATGTATATGTATATGTGTGAATGTATATGTGTGTATATGTATATGTGTATATGTATATGGAAAGGACGAGCCTGTAGTTGTGGGAGGGGTTTATCCAGCCTATAAATTCACAGGCCTCCCCGTCCTCTGGGCTGAGACTTCCTGGTTCAGTACAGAACTATCTACTTCAGTTTCAAAGGTCATCAACACATATTACCTGAACTCCAAACTCCCCTTATTTGTGTAAGGGGATTATTCACTAAGCGCTGGCACTTTTTTCGTATACTATGTTCCTATTTCAGCCCTTCATTTGGCTTTTCATTTGCATAACATCCACTTACAGGGGTTGCATGCTACCCTACCCCAGCGCACTACACAATATTGATAAACTAACTGCCACCTTACCTTTCACTAGGTCATCCTCCTGGGGAAACTGTATCCTTCATCATGTACATTGTCCCTACCCCATGTCAAACACTCTGGTTCAGCAGTATCTGTTAGGTAGGTTCATCATCATCACCTACATAGGACACAGCCTAAATATACTCACATGTTGCAAACGATTAAGTGTCATCAATACTCTCCAGATCTTGATTCATGGAATACCTTTAAACACGGCCCTTACTTGACCTTCACTACATTTGCTTCACAAGGCCCTCTATGGGCAACCCGATACAGCACAAATTTGGTCTTGAAATAAGAATACCTTCCTGCTTCACTAGGGTTATATATGTCTTATCTTACTTCGTTCAATTATACGCTGTGCCAACACCATCACAACCTTTATGGCCCTCCTCATCCGATAAGTTTTATCCTTACTCCACATATTAAACCACCTCGGTCTAGCACAGTATTGACAATGTTACATATGACACCTACTTCTAGACACTTAATAATCTATCACGTTGGTTATATATAGGATTACCCTTTGATCACAGCCTCATACGGCCCTCCATTACGTACAAAGTTTCCACCCTGGTATTCATGACAATTCTCCCTACCACTACATATGGACCGGTCCAAACAACAAAGGCATCATTCTTGGCCTCTACACAACTCTCACAACCTTGATATGTTTATTCCACATTTGTTCGTTCCATACATCTGTACCCCTCATACAGCCCTATTTTTTGCATCCTGCAGCTCAGGACTTACATTGGGCACTCTCTGCCTTTCGCTACAATATATTTTTATATATATAACATTAGAAATCTATTCAGTTGGACCAGCCTTTATCTGCTGTACATGTGTACCTTGGGAGACTCTGTTATGAGTCCATCATTAGAAAGTAGGATCCTTTGACGTACGTTCAGTTTTTTACAATAACTAATCTGAAATATATTACCTTAATGTCTTAAAACATTAAACTTTAGCACATAAATATTTCCTTAATGCTTTTCCTTAAATGCTGCAGAATTTGCATAGCTGAAGAACAGAAAAAAAGCTGTAAGTTTCAGGGGCCATCAATGCAATACAAACTCTGAAAGCGTTAAATCAATCGAATGCAGTGATTTATTTTACCTGTGTCACTCCGCACAAACCTTCTGACATGTCCCGAATAATTAACAATTAGTGCACATTGTGGACGTCAGTAAAAAAAATATGTAGGAGGAATTTTAGAATGTGCTGGTATATGTGTAAGGACAAGCAGAGTATGAATTAAAAGGTTAGCAGTTAGCATGCGGTTATAGTTAAATATAGAAGCAGTACAATGGATATATAAAACACATTCACTATAAAGAACACATAGATTGTAGGCTACAAACTGCATATGTACAAAAGCACCGTATCCTGTAAAAGAAACCTTCTTTCCGTTGAACCCCTCACTCTGCTTATCCTCCTATACCAATGATGTTTTTTAATGGGGAGATTTTAATTACAAGCAATTTTTATATGTGTCTTGAAACCTTGAAAATTGTGCACAATTGTATATAAACAAAACTGGACAAGGCAGGCATAGATTCAACATGTTTTACACACACAAACTCCTGAGTGCCAAACATCAGTCTAAATACAACCATTAATCCCATAAGTGCAATAAATGGTCCAAAAAATTTAAAATGCATATCCATTAACATATTGCATATCAGAAGGGCCTAAATTTCCACCAATTAAAGGACCACTTCACCGCACCATTTTTTTTAAATCACTGTTTAGTAGATATACCCACAATAAAAACCATGCATGCATTTAAATATGCATTTTTTTCATTGGGTTTATATCTAAACACAGCTTGCAAAAGCTGCTATTCTCCTGTCTGCGGCATTTGCAAGCCCTCCCCGTCTAACCCCGCCCAGACTTTCTGTGGCTGTCCAATCACAGATTTCCTAATGCAGCTCAATGAGAATTATTTGCAAGGTAGGTGCTCTGAGCTATTGCTGCCTCTTGAGTTTAACTCCACTGGCCTAACCAAACGAGGGAGTAACAGTACCGGTTGTTTGACAGCCAGGGGGTGTAGCAAAGCTAATTTATAATAGTGACAATTTCAAATTAAATCTTCACTTTATGTAAAATGAAAAATAGGCACACTCTTCACACATAAAGCTTTTCAGCAAGGGGTGTGGAGTGTCACTTTAACATCCCCTCCCTCTGGATACAAAGCTTTCTTAAGCACCCATTTGACCTATTAACCCAATGAGTGACACAAATAGCCTGCTCAATTTTCCCTTCTGAATAATGTAAGCACTAAACACCTGCCAATATCTCATACTGTCATAATAACCTAGACATCTGTGCATCTACCATACCATATGCAGAACGGTATGCATATAAACAGTCACCCATTAATGAACAGAGTGCCGTAAGGATCTAAATACCAACTCATTCACTCCCTGAGTGCCTCAATAACAAAACACTCACCGCAAAGTGCCATAAATCAGCCTAAACGCAGCCATTAACTTTCCACCTCATGAACATCAGGAACCCTAACAACTAATAGGGTAATGCACTAAAGATTTTACGGAGAATTTCCTGGAAAACGAAATGCATTCAACATGAATTTCGAATGTCAGAACTAAATAGCCAAACTGATAATAGAATTGACGTGGAGAATTTCTGTAATTCGGCTATTTTTGACAAAATTCTAAAATTAATTTTGAATTCACTTTAAATTCCTTTCCTAATGAACAAAACATAGGAGTTTATTCTCTAAAATCTAAATTGTGGCAACTTAAAATTGCATTGTTTAGGCTAGCATAGACTCAATGTGACTATAACTGAACCCCAAATATAGGAGTATTTTACCAGAATCACTCTATGTTGATGTCCCCACACAGAAAACATGATGGTAGGCCTCGTGACAAGTAATGAGTAATAGGTATTCAATGCCATCCAGCAGAATACATTTTATAAGGCTTCTTACCTTGAAACTATATAAATAGTGTACTTAGCTTGGACACTGTATACCTTAACAATAAGTACATCATGTGATCAAAGGAAATGCTCCTGATGCCAAAAAGAAAACATAAAATTTAGTAAAAATGAACATCCCTACAGAGATAACGACCACACTAAAATCAGGAGACTGAGAAAAAGATATATACTTTTTGCAGTTAAAACAAACCACAAGGGCTTAGACCTTGTCAGCAGTGTGAGCAGAATGAGATTTGATAGAAAATGATCTCCCAGTCAGCGAGCACTTATTGATTGTGACCTATAAGCGAATTCATTGTTGCTTTAGCTCAATTGGATTTGCCATCCTTAATTTGCTTGAAGAAGTGTGGCATGGGCACCCCCACCTCTTCTTCCAGATCGCAAAACAAGCCCTGACTCCACTAGTGATATTCACAACAGTGATGGCTATGTTAGCCAGCATTCTATAGCAGAACTTTATTATTATTGTAGAAATATTTTTTTTGTCATATAGTTACAGTCTCGTCTAATTCATATTCCATTTTATTTTTTCACATTTATCTATACTATGAAAGTGAAGACATGCAAGATATACAGAGTGACATATACAGAACACAAACAGGTTAAGGGTTTTCTTTTCTCTGAGAGAATATGTAGCTAAGAAGGTGAAAGATATATCTGAGATAATGTCCACCGGCAATTAGAGGGTCAGGTCAGATACGCTGCCCTGCTATAGAGTTATAGATTGAGAGCTGTTCATCACAGTAAGAAAAGTAATATGGAAGAGTAATGTGACCTTGGAACCTTGACCTTTTGCAGAACCCATTTCTCCAGCACACAAGAGTACTTATATCAGAGCAGTTTCCAATAAAGCTATATAGGAGTTTCCGATAAATGCAATACAGAAATATATTGATGGTGCTGATACTCAAAAATGTATTTACGGGACAAAGAAACATTAAGGTAAAATAAGTAGAATATTTATCCAATTTTGGACAGCTTCCACATAAGGCATCGTGGGTACCCTTTTTCTTCCTAAAGGTCCACAAATGTTTTTTGGAAGTAATTCATATGTATAAAAATAGTTGGTTATTTTCATTGTATGTATATACACTGTGGCAAAATAGAGGAATTTTACTATCCAATCTGCACCCCATGCAAAGAGATTAATTCATTGTACAGAAACAGTTCTCTACTCTATTAGTCTCACTGAATACATCTGCATTCACATAACACTGACAATAAAATGAAGCTTTGTTTCCAGACTTTTCAGATACACTTAACCATAAATGACCAAAAGAAAAGGATTTATATAACCTTCCCGGAACTTATCTGCTATAAATGTATTAATGCTAAATTCATATGAGCACATTTTATTTTGCAGTTCTGATACATAATTATTGAACAATCCTCTTCTTTCTTGCAAATGGTATGAATCCTTTGTTAGAAATTCAAATTGCAATCCCCTCCACACATTCATCATCATGAAATTATACTATTTCTGCCCCCATCTATGCCGCCACAATATCATTCTCTCCATCTTGCTATTTTTCATACTGCAATGTTGCTTAAGAAATTCTATACAGGACATGATTCTTTTCCATTAACAAAATACGGCCTTTAGCATCTTAGAAATATGGGTTGTCATTCCAGCGTATACCAGAGTTTATAATATTCTGCAAAATTCTTCAGATTTATATTGTTTTATTTGTATACAGAGCTATACAAATAAATCCACTGACACCCAAGGATATTAATCCACATAAACTATCGTGGTTTAATGCACATATACCTTCAAACATTAATTCACAGACACACCAGAAACGCCTGCATCCTTAAAGCGGCACCATCACCCCATCCCTGCAATTTAAATAGTTCAGAAAGATAAAATCTTTATGAAATGCTCAGTTGACTGCGTTGGAATTTCACTGCAATTCCAACAATTATGCCTGACACTTCTAGACACTGGGTGAAGCTACCACCATCTAAAAGTGTCAATTCACCAGCCGTCATCAGTGCCGGCTGCAGGTTATTGGCAGCTTTGCTTGACCCTCCATAGACCTAAATGCTGTACTTTCACACATGCAGAAGTGTACTATAAGGAATAGGATGGACCCCTCTAGGTGAAGATGGCAGCGCTCACAAGGGACATGTTACGTTAAACTCAAATTTGGCTGCTGCCACTGGACCACCAGCTGCAATTTCACTGTTAGAGGTCTCTGCAAATTATTCAAAGTCCCCAAATAGTGACAGTGCAGCTTTAAATTAAACCTAATAAAACCAAATGACTTCAAGTACAGACGTTAAGTCACATGAATCCACAGAAATTGTGTCATGTAGACTCTCAGAGATTAATCTGCAAACACCCACAATCACAATTTCACATAAATAATAGGCATAAGTAGATGTTAGTAACTAGATGGGTACAAATATGTGAACAGGTAGATGGATCATGGCTAAGATGTGACGGGGTGAGTGAGGGTATGGTTAAGCATGTAACGGTGTGGGCAAATATAACTGGGTTGGTGCATAGATCCAATTTAGTGGGCAGGGTGAATGTGACTAGGTGGGTGAATATATGTAACTGTATGGGTTATGTGACAGGGAGTATGAATATGTGAATGTGACTGACTGACCGCTACAGTACTGTAAACATGCTAGTTGGGTAGGTTACTCTACGGAGAATGCACAGTTGTTGCAGACAGAGTAATTCCTCCTTTAAATGTGGGGCACCTTGTGTTTAGCTCACTCCTGCTCCACTGGAAGGGTTAAAGGGACACTAAAGGTGTCCAGACTACTTCAGCTGGGTGTCCATTTTGCCCTTAGTGCTGCAATTGAAAACACTGCAGTTCCAGAGAAACTGCAATGTTTACATTGCAGCTCTTAGTCTGCCTCTAGTGGCTGTCTACTAGACAGCCAATGTAGGCGCTTCCTGCATCCATTTGGTCCGGGAACTGGCGCTGGACTTCTTTGCGCCCTGCATGAGGACATCCTGCGTCAGAATTTTCCCCCTAGGAAAGCACTGATTCAGTACTTTCCTATGGAGAGGTCTAATGCGCATGCAGAATTTGCCGTTCTTGAGCATTAGCGCTCGCTCATTGCGGGACGTCGGAGTGGGCGGAGCGTCGACCCACTGCCAAAGGACATCGGCGCTGGCATAAAGTAAGTAAATAAAAGGTTTTTAACCCTTTATTTAAGGGGGCTGGGGCGCAAGGGAAGAAGGGCAGGGGGAGCTATACTGCAAGGAATACAGCTTTGTATTCCTGGCACTATAGTATCCCTTTAACGTATACAACCATAAAGATAACTTATAGATAGGCAATTGTACAGCGCTGCAGAATTTGTTGGCGCTTTAACCCCAGATACAAAACAAATGATAATCCATATTTTGAATTATCTATTCATTAATGTTAATTTAACAGTCATATAACCAAGGAATTACACAAGCTATCTCATTTATCATAAAGACATGTTATTCAATACTCAAAGCAGAGTCTCTCCGGGCCCTTATAAACTCAAATGTATTCTAATTTGATTTAGTTGTAATTAAATGTGTCCACTTTCATCTCTTCATTACCTCATAGTTCTAAAATACAGAAATTATGGAAATAGAATTGGAGAGTTGATTGCAAGTACCTCAGTGAACTTTGACTAATGGTAAAATGGCTAATAAAATGAGAGAGCTGTGTGCATAATTTCTACATGAATGGTCAGCTGCTGTTTTTATCTCTAGCAATTACAACTCTAATATTTCCAAACGGTCACACTACATCTCAAAACTGCATCCACACCTTAGTGTACATACTAATGAGACCAATACATACAGCCCAGAGGTAATATTCTGATCTCTGCATCTCTGAATCTCTGATCTTAAGGCTTCCACGCCAACATACTGGGTAGGAATTTATGGCAGTAATAAAGGCTCCAAAGATAGGTTTCCAAGGAAATATGTCAAATTATTTCTGCTGTCTGAGAATTAAACCCTTTAAAGTCACCAGAAAATGGTTATTATAAAACACAAATCAGACATGGTGGCGTGTGATTGGAATGTTAGTGTAGAGCTAGGCTGTCTATACGCACTCTGTTACTGTTTCAAGCCATGTGATAAAAATACAGGCATGCAGTAACTTATTTAATACACTGTATCATTAGAATTTTCAACCATCCACACTTCAAATGGGTTTAACTTTATAGAAAGCAAAAACACAGAGTAGGAGGAACAATTTCAGTTAAGGCACAGGAAGCAATGCCATTGTAGGAAAATGTCTGAGACGTCTGTGTGTTTTTTGTTTTTTTTAACATATGCTTTGTCACTAAGAAATGCAATATCAGCTACAAAGACAACACCTAACATACCATAACATATAAGAAAAGTAGACAGGTTTTCAATTGTGAAGAACAAGAATAACCTTATTGAGCAGCAATTTGGTTATAGGTGTGTAAAATGCAGGACAAACCTAGCTTATACAGCTGGAATAGAAAATTTAGATGGGATATATCGCACAGCAAAACTTGGGTGTGAAGCCCAAGATGGGAAAGACCTATGAGCTATATAATCAGAGAAACAACCGAAGATGCACTTTATGGACAAAGGTATTGGCCATTACAACAACATGGACTTTTATGACTTCGTATTCTAAGTACGTACACATTAATATGCAGTCGGTAGATTCACACAAAACATATATCCAACACTAAAGAAATACAGTATTGTGATGGAAAAAACACACTTATCTTCTTAGATAGTGGTAGCCCTCTCCAGAAATATCCCAGACAATATTCCTTTCATGTGATACAAGACAACGGCAAACGTATAGGAGAAAAGGACTGTAGATCTACAAATATAATAGAAAAATATAGCGTAATATTGTAATGATATACTAAAATGCGCCGTCTTTCTTGGGCGCACTATAATGACGTATGCGTTCCAAGTGGCTGTTCTGCGTTCCACCTTCGGTACTAGTATAAAAATCTATCCAAAACAATAGAAGAAGCTCACAAACAGTAATTCATGTATTGTATTTGAATAAATACTGGACTCTCATTATAAATCCCATGATTGATACATAATTATCATAATTTGCAAAGGGAAAAACGTCCAATCTATAATCTTGTAAAGAATGAAAATATAACATATAAGGATAAAAAATGTGGGGAAAAAAAATTATTTTCTTTTTTTCCTTCCCTCTTTCTTTCCCTTTCCTTTCCCTATCTCTTCCCCTTTCCCTTCTCTTCCCTTTTTGTTTTATAGAACAATATATATATAAAAATATATATATGTACATAGAAAAATGTAAAAATAAATAAATGTATAGATTGATAATAAATATAGACACATTTCCCAATGCATTACAGAAAACAAACAATATCTTTATCAACATTTTTTATTCTTATATACTATATTTTCATTCTTTACAAGATTATAGATTGGACGTTTTTCCCTTTGCAAATTATGATAATTATGTATCAATCATGGGATTTATAATGAGAGTCCAGTTTCATCTCCATTTGGATTTTTTACATTTTACAGTCCTTATGTATGTTATGTCCTTTCTCCCATGGGAGGATAAACTGGACGCTATTCTTATGTTATTATTACATAGATATGGTCAATTAATTATATTTATTCAAATACAATACATGAATTACTGTTTGTGAGCTTCTTTTATTGTTTTGGATAGATTTTTATACTAGTACCGAAGGTGGAACGCAGAACAGCCACTTGGAACGCATACGTCATTATAGTGCGCCCAAGAAAGACGGCGCACCGGAAATGAAGTCGAAAATCCGGAAGTGAATGCCGATTACACCGGGCAATTTAAATTCCATTAAGGAAGTCTAGGAACAGCTGATTGATGCGTGGAAACACCCGAAATTACAAGAATCAAGAGCCATTTATAAAGAGAGACTCGGGGGGGGGGAGGTTATATTCTGCTTTATAGGAATTTATTATTCTGTTAATTTATTTCATTGTTTTATATTTTATGTTTCTATATATTTTGGGAGATTCCCTGATGAAGCCCTATTTTAGGTGAAACATGTAGGATAACTCCTTAGCAACTTTTGTACTTTTAAAGCTTTCTTAGCTTCATTTTATATTTTGAGCAATAAAGCAGTTTTTCCTGCATCCTGAGTCCGGCTCTCCATACTTCCAGCAGTGGTTCCCAAGAACAAGGGGTCCTGGCTATAGCCCCCCATATCATCGGGGGAGGCACCTTTCTGCGATTTATTCTACTATATCTTGTGAGTGCACTTTAATTTCACGCATTTTAGTATATCATTACAATATTACGCTATATTTTTTCTATTATATTTGTAGATCTACAGTCCTTTTCTCCTATACGTTTGCCGTTATCTAATATGCAGTCGGTGCCTGATTTTGCAGTTCTAGTAGCCTCCAATCTTCTGGGAAGACTTTCTACAAGATTTTGGAGTGTTTCTGTGGGAATGTTTGCCCACTCATTTAGTAGAGCATTTGTGAGGTCATGGACTCGATGTTGGACAAGAACATCTGGCTCACAATCTCCATTCCAGTACATCACAAACGTGTTTAATGGGGTTTTTCTTAAACAGATATGACATGAAAATTTATAGATTTCATACGTCTAATGTGACTTCTGCCTGACTGCTAGTTGTCTCACTCGTATGACCCGCTTTGAGATGTGGCTACATTCATTTTTATTTTTTTAACTTTTCAGTTTTAACAACCGTAGCTGTATGTTCTCTTAACCGTCTATTTTTATTTTTATTTCATTATGGGCAGCCTACTGTTTTTGTATAATTCTCTAACACACATCTTGTTTCTGTACAGTGGGATATTATTCCACTGTATAATCTGAGTATACCTCTTAATTCTTCTATAAATGAGGTTCTTGTTTCTTGTGTATGTTGAACGGCACGTTGGCTGTTATATACTGTACCTATATAATGCCAGCTTTGCAAACATGGCTGTATGTTATCAATATACCTCTTAGTAAAAACAGATTGACAAAAAAAAAAAGCAGCATTTATTTAGATTATTACATTTATATTACTAATTTTTTATTATTATTTATTCAATTAATATGACTTTATTTTAAAAGGGTCAATTTTCCCATCACCTTCCATCAGAAAATGAATACTAGGCAGTTATGAGTTACTAGACAACAAGCGTTTGACACTCCTTGGCTATAAGGTACAATTGTTGCATAGGAGCAGTCAATGATGACATAGCCATAGGCATACTCCTGGCTCCAGGTACCTTATTTTAGAGTGGAATCTCTCTTAGATGCGACTTACATTCTGCATTTCTGTTACTTTCAGACATCTGAGTGCTCTGTCCTGGCTACAGTTTATAATATTTTTACAGTGACAAAGGTTTCTTAATACCAACAATGCCATCCGTAGTGAAATCAAACACTGCTGTGAAAAGTATTCTTTTCAAGGTCCATTATAATCTTCGCTGATGATAAATAGCAATCCCAACTACATGAAACATCCATTAGTAATAGCTATTAATATAATAAAGTGTAAAAAAAAAAATCCAGCAATGCTTTGGATGACGGTAGATAAACACCACTTCTGTGTTTTTTTTCTGCAAAATACAAATTCCATCTAGTTTAAAGTTCACTACATTCACTGTAAATGACAAACCTCTTATATTTCTGTAGACATAATGTGTCACGCCAAATACCTGCTGCGGAAACGTATTGTTCTGCTGCAGTCTTTGTTCTTTTAACAGAATGATCAAACTTACATTTAGTTGCTAAAAACAATCAGCTCTCACACACCATCACTGCTGACTTAACACACACAAAAAAAACCAGCAAGCAAACTCCCACTACTCTTGGTCGGCAGCAATGGCTGTGATATCCATCTGCCCAAATGGATAAACAAACAAACAAAAAAAACTTTAGTAGGAGTCTGTATCTGTAGTAAAATTAAACATTGCTATGAAAAGTATTCCTTTCAAAGTCATTTGAATTCAAAATAAATGTCAAACTTAAGGTTAAAGTAGCCAAACTGGAAAAAATTATCCAAGTCAGCCATGCTCTTAGTTCTGCTACTCTAACCTTACATTTGAAATTCACTTTGAATTCTCACATTAGTAAAAAAAAAAAAAAAAAAAAAAGTTAACCTCTGTTTTTAATCTTTCGAAGAGTCTTTTCTTTCAGGAAGTGTTCCGGAGGATTGGAGGAAGGCAGATGTGGTTCCTATATTGAAAAAGGGTTCAAAATCCTTGCCTGGAAATTATAGACCTGTGAGCTTAACTTCTGTGGGTGGAAAATTATTTGAAAGGTTGTTAAAGGATAATATTCAAGAATTCCTTGAGAAGAACGTGGTTATCAGCATGGTTTTATGAAGCACAGGTCATGTCAAACTAACTTGATTGCGTTCTACGAAGAAGTAAGTAGAAGTATAGATCAGGGTGTTGCAGTGGATGTGATCTATTTGAATTTTGCCAAGGCATTTGATACAATTCCACACAATAGGTTAGTGCTCAAACTCAAAGAAAGTGGTCTAGATGAAATTTCTTCTTCTTGAGTAGAACATTGGCTTGAAAATAGAGCACGGAGAGTTGTCATTAATGGTAAATTTTCAAGCTGGACAGAGGTGGCAAGTGGTGAAAGTCATGTTTCAGTGTTTGCAGATGACACAAAACTCTGTAATGTAATACAATGTGAGCAAGATATTAATTTGCTGCAGAGGGATTTAGATAGACTGGGGGTCTGGGCACTCAAATGGTAGATTAAATTTAATGTTGCAAAAAGTTATGCACTTCGGCGTAAAGAGTGCCCAAAGTTATGCACTTCAGCGTAAAGAATACGCAAGTAACGTATACCCTTAATGGAAGCGAATTAGGGAGGACAACACACGAAAAGGACTTTGGAATTGTGATAGACCACTAACTATGCAGCAATGTCAATCAGCAGTGGCTAAGGCCAGTAAGGTATTGTCATGAATGACCACATCTTGAAAATGCTGTGCAATTTTAGGCAAGTGTTCTAAAGAAGGATATTATGGCACTAGAAAAAGTTCAGAGGCACGCTACAAAATTAAAGGGACACTATAGTCACCTGAACAACTTTAGCTTAATGAAGCAGTTTTGCTGTATAGATCATGCCCCTGCAGCCTCACTGCTCAATCCTCTGCCATTTAGAAGTTAAATCCCTTTGTTTATGAACCCTAGTCACACCTCCCTGCATGTGACTTGCACAGCCTTCCATAAACACTTCATGTAAAGAGAGCCCTATTTAGGCTTTCTTTATTGCAAGTTCTGTTTAATGAAGATTTTCTTATCCCTTGCTATGTTAACAGCTTGCTAGACCCTGAAGGAGCCTCTGTATGTGATTAAAGTTCAATTTAGAGATTGACTTACAATTATTTAAAGTAAATTACATCTGTTTGAAAGTGAAACCAGTTTTTTTTTCATGCAGGCTCTGTCAATCATAGCCAGGGGAGTTGTGGCTAGGGCTGCATAAACAGAAACAAAGTGATTTAACTCCTAAATGACAGTGAATTGAGCAGTGAAATTGCAGGGGAATGATCTATACACTAAAACTTTAGTTAAAGTAATTTAGGTGACTATAGTGTTCCTTTAATAAAAGTAATTGATCATTTCAGCTATGAAGAAAGGTTAACAAATTTAAACCTCTTTAGTTTAGGAAAACGTCGCCTCAGAGTGGATATGATAATATTATACAAATATATCCAGGGCCAATACAAACCATTGTGTGGAAATCTATTCACAAACCAGACTTTACATAGGACACAAGGTCATGTGTTTAGACTGGAAAAAAGAAGATTTTGTCTAAGGCAAAGAAAAGTTTTTTTTACTGTAAGAACAATAAGGATATGGAATTCTCTGCCTGAAGAGGTGGTTTTATTAGAGTCCATACAGATGTTCAAACAGCTACTAGATGCATACTTGCAAAAACAGAATATTCAAGGAAATAATTTTTCAATGTAGGGTAATAACTGCTTGATGGAAAGATTAATGTGACTGTCATTCTGGGGTCAAGAAGGAATTTGTTTTTACTAGTTTGTTGCACAATTGGAAGTGCTTCAAACTGGATTTTTTTGCCTTCTTTTAGATCAACAGCAAAAAACAAATGTGAGGAAGGCTGAACTTGATGGACGCAAGTCTCTTTTCAGCTAAGTAACTATGTAACTAATATTCTTTTTTTGTGTATTTTTCTTTTTGTTTTTTTTTGTTGTTTATCACTTCTGATTTAAACAGGTTAGTGCCAGACTCATTGGCTTGCTTTGCAGGAAACAAATAACCCCTAGCAGAAAAAAATAAGAGCCCCCAAATTATTAGTAGAATGTCCCACCTGCTAGAAAAAAGGAGCCTGAAAACGGTAATTATATAACTGGTTTTATAGAAACATAGAAACATAGAATGTGATGGCAGATAAGAACCACTCGGCCCATCTAGTCTGCCCAATTTTCTAAATACTTTCATTAGTCCCTAGCCTTATCTTATAGTTAGGATAGCCTTATGCCAATCCCATGCATGCTTAAACTCCTTTACTGTGTTAACCTCTACCACTTCAGCTGGAAGGCTATTCCATGCATCCACTAACCTCTCAGTAAAGTAATACTTCCTGATATTATTTTTAAACCTTTGTCCCTCTAATTTAAGACTATGTCCTCTTGTTGTGGTAGTTTTTCTTCTTTTAAATATAGTCTCCTCCTTTACTGTGTTGATTCCCTTTATGTATTTAAATGTTTCTATCATATCCCCCCGTCTCGTCTTTCCTCCAAGCTATACATGTTAAGATCCTTTAACCTTTCCTCATAGCATAAAGATGCTTTCAGACTCATGGATGAAGATAGTAATCTAGGTCTTTCTCAACAGGCAATCAGTGTGCAAAGAGAGTTTTTACTTCTAGATCATTCTACCTTAACCTATCAGAACAACATAAGACAACTCATCTTTTTGACAGTGCTAAAGACCTTTCTCTTTGACGAGGCATTTCTTCAACCATAATTTAGTTTATCTTGCTCATTTTTAACTAAAAACTCCTTGAGTCTCAGTTCTTTCCTTCTCTCTTTCCTGGTCAAGGCTTCTTTAAAGCATGTACAATGCTCCATCATAACATTTCAACTGCCTGCCCAATATTGTGAGGGTCCCCCTCGTGCAGATAAAACAGCTCTGATGCGTGGAAGCATGGACTCCACAAGATCTATGAACGTGTCCTGTCATATCTCTGAATTGCAGATCTTTTATGTCCTAGAAGTCTCACGGTGGGATCTTGAACTCTTTGTCATGTTCCTCAAACCATTCCTGAACATTTTTTGCAGTGTGGCAGGGTGCATTATCCTGCTGAAAGAGGCCACTGTCATCAAGGAACATAGTAACTATGAAGGGGTGTACGTGCTCTTCAACAATCTCTAGGTGTCAAAGTAACATCCACATGAATGCCAGTACCCAAGCTTCCAAGCAGATTATTACCCAGAGCACAACGCTTCCACTGGACTGCCTTCTTTCACTAGTGCATCCTGCTGCCATGTCTTCCCCAGGTAAACAACTCAAATGCACCCGTCCATCCACCTGATCCAAAAGAAAATGTGATTCATCAGACCAGGCAACCTTCTTTCATTGCTTGATGGTCCAGGTCTAATGATCATGTCCCCATTAAAGACACTTTCGCTGGTAAATATGGGTCATGCTACTGTCCTCCGCTACTATTTGTTCTGACACCTTTCTATCATAGCCAGCATTAAGTTTTTCAGCAATTTGAGCTAGAGTAGCTCTTCTGTGTAATTGGACCAGATGGGCTAGCCTTCACTCCCCACGTGCATTAATGAGCCTTCGACGTCCATGACCACAACACCATTTCACCAGTTGTCCTTCCTTGCACCACTTTTTGTAGGTACTAACCACTGCATACCAGGAACATACCACAAGACCTCTGTTTTGGACATGCTTTGACCCAGTTGTCTAGCCATCACTGTTTGGCCCTTGTCAAAGTCACTCAGATCTTTTCCCTTGCCCATTTCTCCTGCTTCCAACACATGAAATTCAAGAACTGACTGTTCACTTTCTGCCTAATATATCCTACTCCTTAACGAGTGCCATTCTAACAAAGTGAATGTTATTCACTTCACCTGTCAGTGGTTTCAATTTTGTGGCTGATCAGTGTAGATGTACATTTAAGCTGTTTATGCTCTATAGAAATGTATTGCGCTCATGTTAATACGGTGTTTGTGGATGCAGACTCGTGATTGACATTGCCATCCAATCAGTTCTCTAGAACACTAATTCACGAATGAATTAACGTTTTGCATCAAATGAAGTATATGAGCAGCAAACCGCGGGATTCTATTCTACAATAACCCAAATGCTATGAAATCTACATATGTTTACATAGGTAAATAAACTAGAAATATTGGTGAAGGCAGGTTAGGTGAACAATATTTTGGCATAAAGCTTAAGCCAGAGAATACCCTTTAATGTTTCACTTTAACAAGTAATGTTGGGCACAGTGGTATAGTAAATTGTATATTGTGAAGATATAGGCATATGGAGTTAAGCTACTGATACCATACAGACTTCATGCACAATGATATTTACCTTGTATCCCTCTATATCAATTTGGAGTATGACTTTATTTAGATTATAATAAATTGATATTCCCTGCTTGTCTCATCTTTATTTCTCATAAATAAATGTATCCATTTAATAAGTATATCTGCACAACATCATCCATTGTACTTTTTCATATCCAGAGAGGTTTGAAAATGACCCCTGTGTCAAAGCATTGCCCTCTCTGTGAATGTGACCCTAGAAATACAGAGTTTCAAACTGTTTCGAAGTTCTGGAAATAAGAAAAAATGTAAATCACGCTCCTTTCATGGTTTCTTTTGCATCTTGTCAGAGCGTAAGCTGACCAAAGCCTCCTTACTGTCTGAAATTACAAAATGCAAATATCCAGGTGATTAATGTTGACTTCTTAATCCTCCCAAACATCACTGGGGACAGCATGAGAGAAGAGTATAATAATATACTCTGAACACGCGTATACACTCTCAGAATCCCAGAACAGGAAAGGCTAACTCTAGCACTGCAGATAATGTTCTGTCTCCTAATGCACAACAAATCGTGATGTTGGCTGAGCATGTAGAACACAAACATTTCCAATGCCAAGATAAGTCATTGCTGTCTTATAAGCAATCTATTTAGAATGTAAAAATAAAAAGGGTATTACAAGCTTTATAATGCAGAGAGCGCCTGGCACATACACAGGTCTAAGATAGTTATTTGTAAACAAAATCACTAGCGGCGGCAGGTAATGTTTTAAGTTAGGGCAGAATTTTACACCTCCCTATACAATAAAGAGATACTCATACAATACAGAGAGCTGAGCATATACAGAGATTCTCATACAATAAAACAAGGTAAATGTATAAAATACATAGAGCTGAATACAATACACAGAGAACCATACCACAAACAAAGCTGACACAAATAGAGGTATAATACACAGACCTGGGCACAATACAAAGATACCTATCCAATACACAGAGCTGGGTAGACTACAGAGATCCCCATACGATAGGTAGAGCTGAGTAAAATACAGAGAAATAATACACAGAGCTGGGCACAATAAGGAGATACACAACCTATCTCACACTGCCAGGATCACTGTGATGGATTACACAGAGCAATACAGAGATACCCACCCAGTACATGTATAATCTTCCTAGTTGTCTCTTAGCTCTCTCTTTCAAGGTCTCATCTTCAGTAATGTTGATGCTATGATAATTCTAGCTTTTTATTAAATATTGCTGCTGTTATGAAACATGTCAGCTACTCCATTAGCTCTCAGCACACAGTGTGAACAGGGTTAAAGCAGCAGGTTACTGATATACTCCTTATTACCTTTGCAGCTGACATATATAATTAAACTGCAGTGCCAATATGAAGCCGAGAAGAAGCTGATATGGTTAATAGAATCAACAAACAGATTAAAACAGTTTGAATAAATTCAATAATTTTAAAGACCAGTCCGGGCAGCGTAACAACTTCTTTGCAATTAAGTTGTTGTGGCGCAAGGGGGCTCTGGGCACCGACTTACCTGACGTCTTCAAAGTCTTTAAGCCTGCTCCCAAATGCTATGCCCCTGTACTTCTACTCCATGGCTTCAGCCAGTCTATCAACTGCCTATTAGGTGACGATTGGGTGATGGCTTGAAGACTTTGAAGTTAGACCATTAATGAATGGGTTAACACCTTTAGGTAAGCAACACCTGGGATCTCCTCGCACCATAACAACTTTATTGCAATTACTTTGTTATAATACCTGCAATGTCCCTTTATTTTTGACTCAAGTCTCTGTGTGTGTGTCTGTGAGCTCCAACTTTCCCCAAGAGTGCCTCCAGTCCAGGGTAGACTCAGCCCACTCAACCAGTACAACAAAGAAATAGGACCAGCCATGTGAAAGATTTGGCAGATTTATTGAGACAATACTATGCGATACAGTTACTTGTTTGTATGAAAAATGCAAAATGTATAAACTGCTGTGTCTCGGAAATGGTATTGTTTACAACAGAAAATCTACAGGGGTGGCATCTCTCCCTCTCATTTGCTGCATTAAAGAGACACTCCAGTTCACTAAGGCAATTCAGCTCACCATGCAGAGAGAATTTTAGTAATATTACATGTTTCCAGCTAATCTCGCACTGGACAGTGGCTTGTTTTCATCAGTCCGCAACCAATTACTGCAATAATGGTGCGTTTTGTTACAATGTCATTGAGTCAAATTTAATAATAGTAAGAAATCTCTGACTTTTATTTAACAAGTCTTAATGTCCCAGTTTAGGCAGTGAATGCTGGAGGCTTTTTGAATGGGGTTTGTAGATGCTCATAATTGATCGTTATTACTGTTTAGAACTCCAAAACCTACTACATTTACATTCAATTAATCTGGATCTGTAATGCCATGACAAATACTCTGTTGCGTTGGGAAGGGTCATTTTAGTTTTCTTTTTCCCTTAACTGCCAATTAATTTTAAAAATAATTATTAGATCTACAAGTTATTTGAAACGAATGATTTATAACTGGCACATGAACTGAATTGTAAAGTATAAATTGCTATTTAGTGATTAACCCCTTAAGGACCAAACTTCTGGAATAAAAGGGAATCATGACATGTCACACATGTCATGTGTCCTTAAGGGGTTAAAATGATGTTCGTTTACAGATTTGGTTTTGCTTTTTTTTTTTGCTCATCCTTTGCAGACGTATTCAGAAAGTATAAAATGTTTTCAGTTTTATAAATACTTGTGTCGTAGGGTTTAGAACAAATGATAAGTGAAAGACTAGAATTTTAAATTGTCAAATGCAATATGCTTGCGTTTTTGAGAATATGCCAGCACAATGGAAAAAAAAGTCTACATGTGACCATAATGCACAAATAAAATATATACAGTTTTCTGGGTGAAATTAGACATTTGTATTGGAAAGTCTGATACTGTATGCAACAAATATCCCTTAATAATGTCATAGAATGAGTTCATGTACAGAGGGGCTGACTAGAACTTTATCAAATACATTTGTTCTTCTTGCAAGTGAAGGCCACTGTGAAGGCCAGTGACTTATTTTATTTCAGTAGCCTTTTTTCCTAGTTGTGGCCAGTTTTAATTCCTTACAGACCAGGATTTAGGCTAATTGATTTACAATATGTCAATTCTGACAGGTTTCTGAATACTGCTAACCTACGAAAAAAATATTTTGGCTGCATAACAAGGAAATGAATCCTCATCATTATCATGTTGCCAGCAGAGGAGGTGGTATTTGGGTACCATGAAGATCCACTGGTTTTGTCAAACTCTGACTGATCGAATAGCCTCCTTGCAGTATAAATACTATTGAAAAAAACTGCAGTGACAATGGAATGAAATAACCTTTTAAAGGGCTGCACTTGTTATTCAAATAATGAATCTGGTTACTTTAGTTTTTTTATGGAACAAAGGCATGGAGGATGCCCCTACTTGCATATTTTCAGGGGGTTGAGTAGTGCTTGGAAATTAATATCTGGGGGACTTACGCCAGGTTCAGAGTGCATCTACATGACAAGGAGCAGGGGGGGATTGGTATTATTAGTGCAAGAGGAAATGGCATCCCCCTGACACTGTGCTAAATGTGATTACACCCTCTACAACATGTGTGGGCTACATATAACACTGCCCTCTACTGGTTAAAAGGGGGCAGTTAAACGTTAAAGAGACACTGTAGGCACCAAAACAACTTTAGTTTAATGAAGCGTTTTTGGTGAACAGATCAATCCCCTGCAGTCTTACTGCTCTAGTCTCTGCCATTTAGGAGTTAAATCACTTTTGTTTCTGATTATGCAGCCTCCCCTGGCTGTGACTAACACAGGCTACATGAAAAAAATGGTTCATTTAACTTTGTTAACTTTGAAATTGAACTTTAATCACACACAGGCTGCAGGCTGTAGCAGGCTATAATCAGAGTAGGAGATGGAAAATTCTAATAATAAACAGAATGTGCAATAAAGGAAGTTTCAATATTAGATATCTCCTTACAGGAAGTGCTTAGGAAGGATGTGCAAGTCACATGCAGTGAGGAATGACTAGGGCTACATACAAAATTTGATTTAACTCCTAAACAGCAGATAATTGATCCGTGAGACCACGGGGGCATAATCTATGCACCAGAAATGCTTCATTAGCTAAAACTATTTTGGTGACTATAGTGATCCTTTAACCCCTTAAAGACACATGTCATGATTCCATTTTATTCCAGAAGTTTGGTCCTTAAGGGGTTAAGTAATTTAGCTCCAAAGTCTCCCACATCGGGTGAGGGGATAAGGATTTCATTCTTAACTCTAAAATCCAAAGGACCCTCAATTTATAGATTTAGTTTCCATTTGACTACATATGATGCAAAAAACGAACAAGTGAGAAGTTACATACAGTGAGCATGTCAAAATGTGTAATTAGTTACTTAGAGAATTGTTCAGAAATCAATTTTAGAGCTAGTGTGGGCTGCTTTGTGGGAATCTAAGGGCCAGTGTGGATTGGTAATGCTATGTAAGGCTAACTCAATGCCATATGGAGGATAGGACAATTTAAAAACCTTTAAATGTTTGAATTCAAGTGCTGTGAAATGCATAGATTGTTTACTTTTTTGCAAATATTGTCCTAAAATACAGAGCAGTATTATTCACTAAACTGAGAATTGCCATGAATGAGATCACTTACAGAGTGTTTCCAATCTTTCTACGTCAGCCAAATTGGTCATTTACTCACACAATGAAAATCTAACACTAAACCTAAAGCAATTTATCCTCCGAATTCAGTTGTTGCTGTTTTTGTTTTTGATTCCAGTATTTGTTCCCACTCATTACAACTTGCTATTTAATAAATAATACATTTCTAATAAAAACCATATATATATATATATATATATTTATGCACAAATTTCTCATTCATAAAGAATTTGAAAAAAAATTGTGAACAAAAAAAGTGCAGCAAAAAACATGTTATATAAATTAATTTAAGAATACACCCTAAACTAAAAACGATGAGTTTACATACTGTTTTGCGGTTGTGTTAAACAAACTAGCTCCTTAAAGCGAAACTATAGTACCAGGATACACAACAAAGTTGTTTTCCTATCACTATTGTGCCCCCCCTCCGTCATGCCCTCCCTTCCCCCCTGTTTGCAGAAGGGAATAAAAGTGGCGCTGGTTTAGGCTCCACCTCCAGTCCTCCCCCGCCAACATCAGCCAGTGGGGGAGAACTAATGTGCGGCAATGGCCGTGCTCGCATTAGTACTTCCCTCATAGGAAAGCATATATAATGATTTCCTATGGGGTCTTACATGACACTGGATGTCCTCACGCTATACGTCCAGCGTCAAGCGACTTAAAGTCACCTTGTGACTCAGAAGTCCCTTTAGTGGTTTTCTGGTAGACAGCCACTAGAAGTGGAGTTAACCCTGCAATGTAATTATTGCACTTTATAAAAATAGCAATAATTACAATTGCACGGTTAACGGACCTGGGAATATGCACCCAGAACACTTCAATGAGCTGAAGTGTTCTGGGTGCCTGTAGTGTCCTTTTCAATTTCCACACTCTATTCAAAATAATCTTTTCCTTTTTTTTTTTTTACCTTTTAGAGCACTTGACACGTTAGAAACACACGTAAAAAGCCACAGAGGTGTACAATGCACTAAATAGCAGAATACTTACTACTAATAATATTTACTATTAGTACTTCTAGATATAATGGAATATATAATAAATATATATAATAAATAACATAAAAAGTTAATGATTTCTTTTTTTTTCCCCTTTCTTTTAAAGGTATATCTCAGCAGTACAGCAGGAGAATGTTCAAGCACAAAAAGCAAAAAGACTTGAAGATGTAAGAACATTGTGCTTCTTGTCAATCAAGTGGTGAAACTTCTAAGTTGACAGGAGGCGAAATAGGGGTGAGCTTTAATAGTCTGTGCCGTTTCCTTGGGATCCTAGCTTTGATGAGCAAAGAAAGATTAGAGACTAGAAACAAAAGTGCAGCCCTGCATTACAGCATGACTGGAGAGATTAGTGACATACAAGCAAGGTAGCGCTTTTATGCCAAACCGAACATCTATTAGCATAATGCTGTCTCTGTGCAAAATAATCACAGGTCAGAGTGTAGTCAAGCCATTTGTAAAATCATTATTCCGTATCTAGCCATTTCAGAACATAATAAGGGTCTGTGTAATCAATTCTGGGACAAAGTTCTAAAAATGGAGCAGCCTAAATTGGTTTCTATGGCGATTGCTCCACATGTATCATTGTTCCCCAGAATTATTCTTAATGCACGAATCAGAATGCACAGAATTATTTTAAGACAGAATTCCCAATGTGCTATTTTTTTTCTTTAAGGATGCACAGACTTATTTTAAGACATAATTCCCAATGTGCTATTTTATTTCTGTAAGGATCTAATGGTAAAATGCAGTCAAATTATTAGTACATTCCATTTTTTGTCCAGTTAACCAAAAGTATGCACAGAGTGAAATGTTGCAAAATTAACTAATTAATCAGAGTGAGTGATGTTCATAGATTTCCTCCACGTTAGAGCTAAGTAGATGCATCACAGCTATTCCCTCTTCATTCCTTCCTGGGTTACTAACTCCAGAAAAGAATAGCTAATGAAATATGAATCAATAAAATATAAATAGGAGGACACATTGCACTGTAGCCAAGGACTCATGTTAAGGGACAACAATTACAAAAAAAAATCTTTCAAACACAAGGAAACCAATCTCACACTACAAAACCAATATTACAAACATCACAATATGTTTAAAGAAACCCTACTCACTTTCATTAGCTTTGTAGAACTTAATTATGAGATGGGATTAAAAATAATATTAAATAAAAAATTAATATTAAAAAAAAAAATACAGGAACTGTGAAACTCCACAGGAATCTCAAAACAAGGTGCTAACAATAGATACAATTACACCTGTACATTCCCACAGAGTATGTGTGTGTGTCTCAACAAATTAACTAAAAAAGACCAAGAGAACATATTATACTCAGAGTAAAAACTTAATCCATGGCTCACTGTGTGTGGTTTCCCCCTAGACACGTTGGTAGTACAGGCAAGGGTTAAAAACCTCAGCACCCTCCAAAATGGGGTGATTTTTCCAACATAGTGTCTCTGCTCTGTGTTACCTTTCATTGGGATTGACAATGCAGACATTGATTTCTATTAACCTTCTAGCTGCCAGAAGAGCAAAAAAAAAAAAAAAGAGAGAAATGTTTAATTGTCAGATTGGAAATAATGGATTATCCCGGTGTAGTGAGATTAATTAGGCAGAAGGTGCCAGTTATTCCTGGACCAGCTAAATTACCTGCATCAATTATTCCTTCTGGCTGGCTGTCCCTTAAAGACAGTGCGCTCTGTCCTGGGCAGAACGGTGAAGGGAATGAATGGAATTGCTTTCCGGGTCCTTACCATTAGATCTCCGGACAATGTTCTCTAAGAATGTGTTCTGAGGAGCTACCAGTCCTCGTCGGCCCCCTGCCATGCTCATATCCGAAGAGGTCCTGGGGTGGTGGAGATCAGGGTAGTGGTGGGATGTGAGAAGCCAGAGATCTCCTGGTCACTCTCTGTGAAGCCCTCATGGTCCTGGCTGGTCCAGCAGCAGCAGTTACATCAAGAGAAGCGGTGGCTGTGGGAACAGCTCTCCCATCAATCCTCTCCAACACTCTCCATCCAGCATTTACTCCTCCTCTGCCCCAACTCTTCCCCTTCACGCCTACCACCAAGTCTGGTCCCCTCTCCTCTGTTCAAACAGGGAGGAGCGCATGGCTCTGCTCTCCAGGGTCTGATCTTCTCCCATCGACAGATCATCTCTTCCCAGCTTTTGGCTAAAACCCTGATCCAGCCAGACCCTTTCATTGCCAGGCCCCAGCTGGCTGGCAGTGATGGAGTCAGAGTAACCGGCTCCATTGTATCTTCTTATTCTGTGTAGTAAGTTCTGGGCTGCAGGGCTGACTGCCTTGAGTTAACAGACTGCTGGTTCCCTTCTCATATCTTTGCTGCATTTTAACAATGCTGATATCTATGCTCTATGTTGGTGTATCTATTGTTTGTGTTTCCTATTTAGGTGTATCTAATTTTTTTTTTCTGTTTTGGTGTAGCTATTATTTTTGTTTTCTATTTTGGTGCATCTAATTTATTTATTTTTGTTCTGTTTTGGTGTATCTATTATTTTTTTTGTTGTTGTTTTATTTTTGGCATTTCTTTTCTTGATATTGTTTTTTTTGTTTTTATCCTGCCGGCAACCTTTCCATTTCAGAACCCCTTTAATCCACTGCCTGCATTATTAACGCTTTAAACAGTCTTAGTGTTTCCATGAAGTCATTTTAACCTCGTGCAATCATTGTTCCCTTTTAACCTTTTCAGTGCCAGAGAGTTAAAACCCAGAGCAGCCCCCTCACCCACACACGTTCTAAAACAACTGCATTGCACCCTTGCCCCCTCCACCCCCATCCCCCCAGCCCTCCACATGCAGTCAGAGTTATGATACAATGTATCCCTGAATGCTGTGTAACAGATACTGACATATCATGGTAACAATGTAGCCTTCACTGAAATGATGACTAATGGGTTAAGAATTAACTCCCACTCTCTCACTGTTGATATATCAGTCACCTCACTCCTACACACATTCATCGTATAGAGACGGCCATGTGTATGTGCCCCAGGGAGTAACTCTGCACACAAACTTTAATTCAACCCAGTTTCTATAAAATGTGGACGTGTCCCTTTAAGAGATAGGTGAGCTTTTTTTTTTAATAATGCCCATTTAGGCAAATATCTGCGGGACACAAATAGTTAATACAAATCTATATTTAATTCCTCCACTTCATGGGGCTTACATTATATTCATATTTAGTATAACAAGAGAGGGATTTAGAAACACATTTAAATAGTAGATATATTCTGAAATCACATAAGTAGCACAAAAGTTAAACACAATGTATAATTCATACAAACACAAACAAGTCCATACACTATTACATTCTATTTTACATTTAAAAAATATAACCCATTTTGTGTCAGTGAGATAGCAATAATTTATTGCACTCCTCTCTGGCACCTAAGGTGTTAAAGTAATGAATAATATAATATTTAATAGTTTATGCATTAACATATATTTATTTTATAATAAGCCAGGAATCTATTACTAAGATTTTTCATCCAAAGAATGTACAAGAAGGGAGTTAGAATTTAGATAGTTAAGAGTTCACCCAACAGGGTTGATGGTCAATGTTCAATAATGATTTATTCAGCAGGATCTAAATGGTTAAATCATGACACTAGTGCAGCCTGGAGCAGGCACTGAGTTATAGCTTTCAGCACCTTGGAGAGTTCAGACCTCGAAAACTGTCAGCAGAGCGCCCTCTGCAGGAGTCCATGGTAAGTGATGAGACACAGCCTGCATCCTGCTGAGACAGTTCAAAAGAAGACTGCAGAGGATTTTTGGTTATATCACATTCCCATCTTGTGGTGAAAAGGGGAAATGTCTGGAGAAAAATTAAATGGCAACTGAAAAAAAGCCTTTGTTATGGGCAAATGCAAATATTACAAGTTTTAGAATGAAATGTTGTATTTCTTAAACTGTGTACTTTGTCTTTAAGAGATATTGCAAATTGACAAGGTGTTAGAAATGGAACATATTGTTTTTCATAGATGTTTCTTTAAGCAATAACCTCAGTGCATAATATGTTTGCGCCATTTTGTCCCAGACAAATTACAATAACAATAATCCATAAACAAGCTTCAAGGCTATTCTACAACACTTGCAGTACACAATATACTGTGGTAACCCCAAGTTAATGGAACTTCCCCAAATCCGGGAATCTCCCACGACTGTACACTTACGACTTAGTATAAACAACAGATAACCTATTCAGACTTTAAGATGCCATCTTGAACTAAGTCAGGAAAATTTCCATGACGTATACACCCTTTAGTTATGGCCTTGTATGTTTGCCAAGTTAAGGGAGGTCCTAAAATGAATAAAGTAAATGAACTACGGTAACCCTAAAATGGAGACACCTAAGGTATAAATAGGTGTACTTTTAAATGTTAAGACACAGAGGAGAGACTTGGAGACAGACGCTGCTCCATCTTAAAATGACAGAGAGGCTGACATGATGACATGTTCAGAAGGGTATGTTAACCTATTAATGATATTTGCAAGCATGTAATTTAATCTTATAAACTCTGCTATAATGGATTTTATATTTATATTTTTATATAATAAATATCCAAAAAGACAAAACTATTGCTTCCAAGACAATCCTTATTTTATATTGTATTCTCAATTATTTATATATGTTAAATAGAGGATCTCTTACACTATATAAAATTATGGCTAAGATATATGCATGGTTAACCCTACTAAGTTCTATGCTTTAAGACATTATAGTGGTAAATAAGGGAACCACCTGCGGTTACACCTTCTCTAATAAACCATACCTGCTGCATAGATTGTGTCCTAAGATAATTTTTATAAGTAAAGAATATATTTCCTTTACCTAGTAATATTTAAAGGGACACTATAGTCACCAGAACAACTACAGCTTATTGAATTTGTTCTGGTGAGTAGAATCATTACTTTCAGGCTTTTTTTCAGAGAAAATGCAATGTTTACATTACAGCCTAGTGATAACTTCACTGGCCACTCCTCAGATATCTGTTAGAGATCGTTCCTGGGTCATGGCTGCCTAAAATGCATCCAAACATTCAGTATCTCCTCCCTCTGCATGCAGATACTGAACTTTCCTCATAGAGATTCATTGATTCAATTCATCTCTATGAGGAGATGCCGATTGGCGTAGGGTTTTATTTGAATCATGCTGGCTCTGCCACTGATCTGCCTTTTTGTCAGTCTCAGCCAATCCTATGGGGAAGCATTGTGATTGGATCAGACTACCACTTCTGATGATGTCAGCAGACTGCTTGTTTTTTTTCTGAGTCTAACAGCATGCAGAGTTACAGCTTCTGGCTTGAATACAGTAAGATTTTGCTATATTTATAGAGGCATGAGGGGCCCAGGGGGGCTAGATGGTGGTTTTAACACTATAGGGTCAGGAATAAGTTTGTGTTTCCGACCCTATAGTGATTCTTGAATGATAAATGCACACTGAAAGACTCCAGATTTTAGTATTTACATAACTCTCTCTGTATTTAATGACCGATTTATAACATGTCGCTGTCACGGTGCTCCAGGATTCTGTCGGCGTGGCCGCACAGTAAAACAGCGGTCACGCCGACAGAAATAATAAATACTTACCTTGCTTGCAGCAGACCACTACCTGACCTCCTTCCGTCCCGGTCCCCAGCGTGTCCGGCGTTCCTAGAGACGCCGACCACTGCGGTTCAGCTTTTAATGGGCATACAGCTTTTTCCCACATAAAAAATGGCGCTTACATGC